ACACTGTAGGTGGAGACCAAGTGTAACGCCCACCTGGAAGGTGGAGTTTAATGTGAATATAAGGTGAGGTTCTCTGACCACCAGCTCAGTTCCATCCTGAGACCTGCAGGGATGTTACTCGGGTTTACTTGTCCTTTATTGGAATAAACTCTTTTGCACCGACTCTTGACCACACCATTTTTGACTAAAGAAGAAAGCTAATAGAGTAATTTTTACTGAGTTTAATAAGTTGGTTAGGGTAGGGACCAGGCCTTCCACTGGCCTGGCCTGTCTTTATTTCCGACCCAACAATATCAGTGTTGTTTCAATACTAAATAAGGGTGCAAAATGGTATTAAATCAACATCAGAGTCTGATGCTTATTGGTTCTTATTGGTAATATTTCCGAAAAATAACGCAATGTGAAAGTGGCATTAGTTTCCCCAGAGGACGTACTAACCAAGCCCCAAGCTGCTCAGCTTCAGTCAACCAGAAAGAGAGAGAGAGATAGCCATAAAGAGGGAGAGAGGCATGAAGGGGTAGGGGGGAGCAGCCTACACAATATCCACACAGTTGTGCAGACAATAAAAGGTAAGAGTGGGACAGACTGAAAATAAATAATGGTACAGATATTTATAGTAATGTTAATGATGATAATAACTGTATTAATAACAATAGGACTAGTAACAATAGTTGTTGCAGCAGAGGGTGTCGAGCAGGAACACGGGGGCAGCAGGTGACCCGCAGCCACAGATCCAGACTCCACAGCTCCAGAGCCAGAAAACCTGCAGGAAGTGACAGGAGGAGAGAGGAGAGGGACGAGAAAGCACAAGACTACCAGAAAGGGGAGAAGTTGTGTTAGTAACATGCAATAATGGGATGAGGTTGCATACAGAGGGAGAGAAAGTAGAGGAGAGAGGAGCTCAGTGCATCATGGGAAATCCCCCGGCAGTCTAGGCCTATAGCAGCATAACTAAGGGATGGTTCAGGACTCACCTGAGCCAGCCCTAACTATAAGCTTTATCAAAGAGGGAAGTCTTAAGCCTACTCTTAAATGTGGAGATGGTGTCTGCCTCCTGAACCCAAACTGGAACCTGGTTCCACAGGAGAGGAGCTTGATAGCTGAACGCTCTGACTCCTAGTCTACTTTTGGAGACTCTAGGAACCACAAGTAACCCTGCATTCTGGGAGCGCAGTGCTCTGGTGGGGTAGTAAGGTCCTATGAGCTCTTTAAGATAATATTACTGTGTCAATTGACAGAATTTAGATTTTTCGCTTCTCTTTATGATTCTCCAAACCTGCAAAACATTTTGAGCCGTTTTGGGGGTTGTTTGCACTTCCTGTTGAAGAGGCAGTGAGTTCTGTAGAGTTCCCACTTTGAATTTTATAGTGTGGTGTTGTATCATCTGACACCATGACTTTGCCACCCCCTGGCACCTGACTTGGCTGACTCTTCTGACCCTTGACTCTGGTGACCCTGACTGTATGTGTTAATTGTTTAAGTTTAATTAATATTAATTGTTCAAGTTTATTTATTTTATTTGATCAAAGACATATTTTCACAAATTCACAAAAAAGAGGAACAACTTCTGCTTCCAGTCTTTGGGTTTTCCTCCACGGCTACCGTCATACAGCCTCTAGAGGTCGCCATAATAAGCTGCAAGCACAATTGACCTATTCGGCTGTTTTTCTGGAAAAAGCACAGGGCAGAAAGCCTTGAAGCATAAGCCAGCCCGGCCCAGCAGAGTGTACAAAGATCTGTAGATGTGAACTGGTGAACGGTGTAGTGATGTCTCAGTGGTGGGCGTTTCCCCCTGAGGCAGGTGGAGGAGCTGGGAGCATTCAAAGAAGCCTGGAAAGAAAATAAATCACCCAGGAGAGACAACGCCTGAGGGCTCAGAGCAGCAAAGCACGCTCTGTGGATGGAATAGCCGATGAATGATGGAGACACTGGTGCATAATGAAAGGGTGGAGAAACACAAGAGAGAGAGAGAGAGAGTTGGTCAAATGACATGTGGAGTTTGCATCAGAAAATCAAGAGAAGGGAACTAAAAAAGTGTTGTTTACAGTAGAGGCAGGGAAGACGGGGAGAGCACATGCTGTGGAGAAGACGTAGCCTGACTGAGGGCAGCTTATTTCTCCACAGTTTCAGTCAGCAGGGATTCAAGTGTTTTTACAGCAATTTTAAGATAAAAAAAATCCTTTTATTAACCCCCCACCAAGAGGGGAACTTTAGGTGTTACAGCAGGACAAAGACAGATATAAGCAGAGATAAGTAGAGAAATTTAAAATAAAATAGATTGATAAAAGTATGTAAAATAAAAATAAGAACAGAATCAAATAGAAACTATATAAGAGCAATTTAAGCACAACTCAGATTTACAGGCAATAACAGAACACACTTAAGACCACTGTCTCATTGGCCTATCTGTGAGACTGGCGCTCTTTCTAGTAAGAGTTTGAGACCTGGCTGTTGCCTGGTGACCAGAGGCAGTTGCTTGAGCAATGCCCCCCTAACTATGAATATTTGAGCTCTCCCAGGGTCAGTGGCCAGGGTGGTGGCCTAGCTGTTGATAGAAAGAAAAAAAAAAAGGTTTTAGTTGTTGTTCCAACACTACAGATAAATAGTCTCGTTTTGAGGCTTCTATGTTTAAAATTTCTGGTGCTGTATTTGTCCTTTGCCTTATGATCTATCTCCCACCTAGACCAAATGCTAGATTTGCACATGAAAAAACTCTTTCTTTGTTTTTTTTCTTTTTCTTTTTTATTATTATTTATTATTTTTAAGTTATTGTTATTGATGATTTTGATATCCACATTGATTATCCAACTGCAACTGAATTTTTAAAAAGTCATTTTATTTAGTCCGGCATGTGTCTGGTCCAACCGACAACTCTGGCCACACATTAGATTTAGTTTTACCCTTGTTTTTATCTCTGGTCTTCCATACTGCCCAAAACACCTTAGCAGTACTAAGAATGGTTTAAAGATGGCGGCGCTAGTGTATTGCGAGGCTCAGCGTCTTACCAGAGTTACAAAAATAGTGGTAATTTATCTTTTTATTTATCTGGTTATTTCCTGTGTTACAGCAAACAGCCACTTTTGGACATCAACCAGCGGTGTTCCAACATACATCGATCAGCCATAACATTATGACCACTGACAGGTGAAGTGTGGCCTACATGGGATGACTTGGCCTCCAAATTCCCCAGATCTCAATCCAGTCCAGCATCTGTGGGATGTGCTGTACAAACAAGCTCAATCAATGGAGACCCCACCTCACAAACTTAAAGGATCTGCTGCTAATGTCTTGGTACCAGATTCCACAGCAGGTCTAGTTAAGCCCATGCCCCGACGGGTCAGGGCTGTTTTGGCAGCAGAGGGTAAGAAGGCTACTGCACAAGTGTGTGATATTTTTGCAGGGTAAATATTCATTGTCCCTACGAACACTAAGATTATGTTTTCATCTTGCAGTTGCTGTGTGCAGTGTTTTTCTATATATATATATATATATATACACTGCTCCAAAAAATAAGGAACACTTAAACAACACAATGTAACTCCAAGTCAATCACACTCCTGTGAAATCAAACTGTCCACTTAGGAAGCAACACTGATTGACAATCAATTTCACATGCTGTTGTGCAAATGGAATAGACAACAGATGGAAATTATAGGCAATTAGCAAGACACCCCCAATAAAGGAGTGGTTCTGCAGGTGGTGACCACAGACCACTTCTCAGTTCCTATGCTTCCTGGCTGATGTTTTGGTCACTTTTGAATGCTGGCGGTGCTTTCACTCTAGTGGTAGCATGAGACGGAGTCTACAACCCACACAAGTGGCTCAGGTAGTGCAGCTCATCCAGGATGGCTCATCAATGCGAGCTGTGGCAAGAAGGTTTCCTGTGTCTGTCAGCGTAGTGTCCAGAGCACGGAGGCGCTACCAGGAGACAGGCCAGTACATCAGGAGACCATCCGCCACCTCATCAGGAGCATGCCCAGGCGTTGTAGGGAGGTCATACAGGCATGTGGAGGCCACACACACTACTGAGCCTCAGTTTGACTTGTTTTAAGGACATTACATAAAAGTTGGATCGGCCTGTAGTGTGGTTTTCCACTTTGATTTTGAGTGTGACTCCAAATCCAGACCTCCATGGATTGACAAATTTGATTTCCATTGATAATGTTTGTGTGATTTTGTTTTCCAGCACACTCAACTATGTAAAAGAAAGGAGTATTTAATGAGATTATTTCATTCATTCAGATCTAGGATGTTATTTTAGTGTTCCCTTTTGAGCAGTGTATATTTATTCTTTTTTTTTTTTACCATTATTTCAATAAATTCAATTTGGCCCTTTCGGCACTAGTTTTTAGTATTGTTTCTAGTTGATAAAAAAACACTTGGTGGTGGTGGGATGTTCATCTTTCAAAGGGAGTCTAGACAGAAATGTTCATGACTGAATTAGCTAAAGAAAAGTGACATAATAAAGTGTGTTAGTAGTAGTGGTGCAGGACACTCCACCAATGCACAGGTATGTACGCGTGAATATGATGTGATTGACATTTTCACTTCTCACATAATCACTTATGTTGCCAGCGGTTTAGACATTAATGGCTGTGTTATTTTGAGGGGACAGAAAATTTATACTTTAATTAAGCTGTACACTCACCACTTTACATTGTAGCAAGATGTAATTTCTTCAGTGTTATGATATAATCAGATATTAACAAACATGTGAGGGGTGTACTCACTTTTGTGAGATACGGTAAGTATGTTTTGAACCCAAAGAATGTGAAGGTAACTCTTAGTAGGACAATTTTAGCACACAAATTATGTTAGATCTACAATTCTAATTGGACTGGACTGGTAAACTGTGTGCTGCTGATCTCCTTACAGCAAGCAGATGCTTCTGGGCCCGTTACAGTGTTAGATGTCGCCACCATGTGGACTATAAAATATTTACACCACCATACACAACATGATTCCAACACATCGCCATACAAATGACACATTAGGCAAACTACCGTTTTCATGCACTTCTTTAATATATCAGTTTTTCATATTCACAACAAATACATTAAGCTCTTTCTCCTTATGATACAGCCTTAAATATTTTTACACTCATTTTTCTCAGAAGTCGGCCTATCAAAATGTCTCTTAATCTTTGTCTCTATTTTGAACATTTTATAATTTGTTACATTTGTAGTCTCCATGCCTCCTAGCAAAATGACAGTATTTCCTTTGTACAACTATTTACATGTGAAAAACAAAACAAATCTCCATAAAGTTTCTTATGAAAGTTCTCAGTTGAAAGGAATTGTTGGGTTTAAGGTGCAGGCAAGGAGGAGAGGGAGGGAATGTTCGAGAAGACAAATTAAAGTAGAGAAAGGCTGAACACAAAGTTTTGGATGAAGAGGAGAGGAAGAGAATATGTGGTAAGATCAGAGGTGGGTGGTGGAGATGAGAGCGTTAGTGACGGAGCTCAGTGATTTCTCCTGTAGATTCTATGAAGCTCAAGCAGATTCTCATAGAAAATAGAGTTCTTAGAGGAAAATAAATACAGCGCTCTGAAAGACTTAACTTCCTCAGGTCATGTGAGCAATCTGAAAATGCAAACAGCAGACCCCAGTACAGGAGACAACTGCCACTGCTGTCTGAAGGATACGGACGCCTGTGGTTGAGGACAAGGCCATGTGCTACTTCCAGTGAGGCTGACAGTTAATTCTTGACCTGGGAATTAGTGGTTGCCAAAACAATCTTAACTCAGGGTCCACTTACTTGCCTGTTCAGACCGTATTACATAGTCTTCATCAGCAGATGTATTAATGGATGTTTAATTATGATTATCTGAGCACCTCCAGGACTATCGGTCTGTGTGGGCTTTAAAGTGGAGGTGAATGGAATTCAGTTGCTCAAAGTGTTCATCTCAAGATCATCAAACTCAAAGACAGTCAGTAAGAGATTCTTTATGATAGTAATGGACGGTTTATTTATGAAGATTAGTTTCCTTTGTAGAAAGTAGTTCCGATTAGAACTGTCCACTATATATGGGCAGATTATCCAGAGTAACAAGTGAGGCATGTTCAGTGCTGAGAGCACCACAAACTAAATTCCATTTACCTTCATTGTATCGGGCTGGAAGAAGATCGTGATGTCAAAATCTAAACACTCAAATTAAAAACTACCGGACTGTATAAATACCACTAAAGGGATGTTGGAAAACAGTTTTAATATTTTAGGCAAATTACCATTAAATCACAGAATATATCTATATACACATATCAATTATTGAACTAGGCCAGACTGTTAGTGGCTAACTGCAGCTTTCCTCCCACTGTCCAGACTGAACTCATCATTTGATGTGCATTAGACTGGCAACCCTTTATGGTGATGCCCACCTTTCCTCAGAACCTCAATAACATGTCAGCTCAGGTTTCATCAGAGGTAATATTTAATAAAAAGGCCTACATAGTGCCTATATATATATATATATCAGTCCACCCCTAACCTACATACTATGTGGTAGTAAAGTAGGTAATGGACAACAGTAGTCCAAACTCTGTGGAGCCCTCGCTCCCTTAAAATCTACAGGTGAAACCACGTCCTGAAGTGGCTTTCTGCTATCGGCAGGTCTTCAGGTGACACTAGAGTGCACTCAAAAACACAAAAAACACAAGTTTGTGCAGGTGTGTCCACAGCATAGGCACGTGCTGCTTAGACCAACCTCAATCGACTGCATGTGATGCAGGAGTACAAAACTCCATGTGACCCACCAGACAATTGAGAAAATAGAAGAATTCCTTAGAGCAACTATAGTCAATGTGCAAATAAGCATCTGTTTGCTAACAGGTTTGCTGGACCAACTTAAAAAGTGATATGTCGATGTGTTCACAACTTGTTTTAGCTGCCCTCAAGTGGCCTGTTTTGGGCAGATGAACTCTACTATCTGTTTATACATCCAGCGAACACATAGTAACACTAGAATTCACTTGAAGTTGTGGTTCTGGTTTTTGCCTCCACCAACACTTGAGAATAATAGTTGTCTCTTTAGCTGCTCAACGCTTCACTTTTTTTTTTTTTTTACTAGCTAGTTGATAGTGCTCTGTCTGTTTGGCGTTTCGGCCTGTAGCTTACAATAACAGAGTGCAGTGTGAGAAATAATATTAATGTTCAGCTTCATTTTTTTTTTTCCTGCTATGTGAGTTGGAGTAACCTGTGGGAATGCTTGCATCTAGTCATCTGTCTGCTCATGTGTCTGCCCTGTCAGGCTCTTTAACATCACTTCTTGGCAATTTTTACATCTGTGGTGTTAATCCGCTGCAGCTCACTTGTTTTCTCCAAATTGAGCTATCAAAGAGAACAACAGCCTAGTTCACCAATGGAGAGTACATTTTATGAATGTCCCCTGGTGGAGTACAACGCACAGCCTATTGTGCTTATGCACTGAATGTAAAATTGGAACAGATTATTTCAGATCTCGAGGGGTTAGTCTATGATGGAAAGACATGATCGTGATGAATGTGAAGAACCAGCGTGTCAGTCAGTGTTTGGATGGATTCTTCAACTACCTGCTCTCCCTTCACAACATCCATTCATCAGGCCAGCAGTATCATTCGCACGGCTCTCCTCACTGTAGGTGTGGTGACATACTCGGCTGCTGGAGACTTCATTAAAGACAGTCCTTAGATGGCAACTGAGCCTTCCCAGCAAAATTTTCACAGTCCAGCCCCGGCAGATGACTTATGCATTGGAAATTGAATTTTGGGTCATCAGCTCTGTATGTCACAATTTATTCCTCGATATAAAAAAGAAAAGGCAAGTCGCTCGTTTGCTTCAATCCACCTCTACAAAGTGCAAGTATACGAGTCACAAAGACTAAAACAAGCGTCAAAAGAAAGACTGATACTTCAAAACTATTCACATAAATAAGTAAATATCTGCAGGCCTGCCTGTACAGAAAAAGGCAAACATTGACGATAGCAAAATAAAAAGAACCTGTAATAACACCTACAACCCAGAACACAAGCTGGAATGAAAAAAGTACAGGTGCATATGTGTGTAGAGAAAGTAAAAAAATGTGATTGAAAGAACATTTTCGGACTTTTTTTTCAGGACTAGCAGAATTCTCCAGATGATCACCGGTCCTGTCAGCAGGTAACGCTGCAGCCCATTAGTCGGCAGCTGCAACAAGTAAGGTCCACATTTTCAGCTGAGAGCAATATTAAAGCCACATGATCAAAAAAAAAGAGAAAATAGAAGAGACAGGGGGGAAAAAAATAATGACACGATATGCACTTGGTGTCACAAAAAAAACAAAAACAAAAAATCTGAGGTTGGGTTTTGTGACATGAGAAGCAAAGAAAAAGCTTTGCCACAAAGATGCTGCGTAACAACTTCTAAGCTTAGAGAACAAGTGTGTCCTGTACACACTCCTTAGCTCAGCATAAAGGCTGGGCATCGGCCCGGCGTAGACCGGCCTCCTTAAAGAGAATAAGAAACCCCTCTTGTGTAGCTTCCACCAGCAAACAGAGCTGCATTTTTCCTCCCTATCAACAGCTCCTGTGGTCGGCAGATCACGTCAGACTCCGGACGTCTCTACCGGAAATCTACAAAAACAACCGCGTCTGCTGCTTTCACACAGACGTGAAGTCCTTGGAAAAGGTAGAGCATCTCAGGAGCAACAAAATCTCACTTATCAACCCATCTTTCATGCTTGCTCAGACCAGGCCTTCTAAACAGAATAAGAAATCAGTCTGATGTAGCTTCCCTTACCAAGCAAATGATCATGTCCCTCCCAAAGAACAGCTCCTGCTGTTAGTGCAGGCTCTGGACTTTTCTACCTGAAATCTGCAGAAAGAAACGCTTTTCCTGCTTTAATGTGAAGGTTTTGAAATTTCTGAAAAAAAGTAGAGCAAAATCTTTCAGTAGATCAACAGTTGATGCCGTTTGCATCATGGGTGTCAAACCTGCTGGGGGCGAAGAAGAAGGCAAAATACAGTATTTTGCAGAATTTGGTCAGCATTAAGCCCAAAAAGACAAAAAAAAAAAAAAAAAAAAAAAAAGCTGTGGCCTGTGCTGCAAAATTGAGAAAATCAAAAAATGCATTCCTAGCAAGTGCTAGCTAAAATCTGAGAAACATGAGAAACTAATGAAAAAATAAAAATAGATGTGTCTTTCAAGTCATCTTTCTTTGGGGCTGAGTGACGTCCAGCTCAACACCTGGCCTTCCACCCCACCCCGCAGACAGGAGGCCTCTTCCCTTACCACAGGCCCCGCTCTGCCGTCGCTCAAAGTGCAGTTCGGCGGTCTGACTGATAAAGCAGCCTCCCTTCTCACCTGCACAGGAAATGACTCGACGAGCGGAGCCCGACGCCTCAACTTTTTTCACTTCATCTTTTTTCCCTCCAGCAGAAAGTCCATCAGTTTACCATCTCCTCCTAAAACTCTTTTGGTATCTCTTTGTGTCTTGTTTGTTTTCTTTCCTTTTGTGTCATTCAAGTATCTTTTAAAAAATTTTTTTTTTCCTAATTCAGTTTTGTCCGTCACTGTGGCCGTTTGCCTGCGGGACAGCTTTTTGTTGGACGGACTCCAACGAGGCTGCCTTCTTCAGGTTGACAGAGGAAGAAAAAAAAGCACATTCTTTGAGACTATTTGTTCAGTTTTTTCAGTAATGAATGAATCCACCGCATGGACACGGGACTTTTGAGAAGTGACGAGGGATGGACTGGTGGAATCTGCAGCACTTACTTAAATGCTGAAAACTCCCCTGAAAAGCAATAAAGATACAGAGAAAATTAGTGTGTAAGAACTGTTGCAGCAGCCACAGTAATGTCAATTATCAGATGTAGCTGTTATGGTGAACCTCAACCACTTCAAATTAAACCAGCAGTGATTGTTATTTTGAGGTAATTGTCTCCTGTTTCAATGATTAGAGCAGAAATGTCTATTCACAATACTGCTCTCCCCATCCCTAGTGACTAAATTCTGTGCGTCTTTATATACGTATACAAAAAACCAACACAGTTTGGCCGTATTTTGATCTAGAAAATGAAAGTAAGGTTGTGTCAGAATAAACTGGCATAAAACCACTTGACTAAAGCAACAAGTAACCACATTCAGCACAGACATGTGGACGTTAACCTGCAAGAAGAGCGGGCTGCTGGTGCTAGCACTGTTTTCTTACTTAAATCTAAATTTAACTTTTCGTTTTATCGACAGGGAAATTTGTCAGAAATTTGAAAGAGAGAGCAAAAATATTTTTTTCACTTATTAATTCCAGTGTGTTTTCACATTAAAGACTTCCAGCAGCTCAAAGGAGAACAATCTCTCGCCTTTCCGGTGGGCTCTGAATGTGAAACATCTGCAGGAAGGGTTGAGTTTCTTTGACACTAGCTCAAAAGAGTTTGAAAAAATGGCAAAGTAGCTGCGACAGTGATTAATTAATCCATTAGATTCTATTGAATTTCTATGAAAAAGAAAAAACAATATTTACATTGTAGTGAACCAGCTAGTGTTATTTTGATTATTTTATATCAAAAAGGATTAATCTAGAATCTCTCTTTGTCTCTCCCTGAGAGAAAGAGGGGGGGGGGGTTGAGATATCAATCCTCAACAGACAGCTGAAGTACCCCAAAGGAGGGGGTGAAAGGTTTGATTCCCTCCCAAGTGCTGCTTGGGCAGTTTCGGCCATAAACCTACCAGCTCCAGTGAAGCTGAGATAACAGACTCTATGCATGACTGTTAAGATGACAATATTAATCTTGTCCAGAGACTAACCTCAACCTGAACCAGGCTGTGAGGACCTCAGCAGCCATAAACTAAACAACCTCTAAACACTCCCAAGACCAAGAGGGCAGGGTAACCATGGTAACGAAGTTCCTCTTTCAGATTACCTCAGACATCAAAGACCCCCTTCTTCAGTCTTGATGCTCTACCCCACCAAAGAGCCATTCATTTGGACTAACATGCCCTGTCCCTTTTCACACCCAGTTGTGAAACAGGTGAGGAAAGCCAGACGCCAGAGAAGGACGCTGCCCCAAATTCCTTTGTTGGACAAGAATGTTGTCTCCTTCTAAAAACTTCCCTATCACCTTGTTTGAATTAAATAATCTTTGTTAAGTTACTTAGTAGTTCTCGCCGCTTCAATTTGGGTAGTTATTACCACGTTCTTGTTAAAACTATGTTGGAAAGAAGGAACCGTAAATAAGTTAATCTTGCAGTGCTTTAATTGTCATCACTGCTCGCTGTCCTTTCTGCATTTAATTTGTGTAACTAATGTTTTGTTCCCAGCACCTTTTATATACTCCCTTAGAAATTATATGGTACAGAAATATCATCATGTGTTAAATAACCTATTTTCCTAGCTCCTGAACCAAGGACTGAGTTAACTATAAGTAAATAATCAATAAATAATACCCCCCCCCCCGAGAAATAAGTGTAATATCACAAGTTTAATGTCTCTCCTTGTGCCTTTTTTATGTATCACTCTGTATTTTACGTAAGTTCCCTTTTTAAGCTTTATTTTAGTTGAATTAACTTCTGCTGCTCCCACCTAAGTTCTGCCAGCAGTAATCCTGAGGACATCAAACCAATGAACTAAGCCTGGGCCGACCACCCGTTACTGCGAGTGTTTTTCCCACAACTACCAGCCAGACAAAGAACTCTAATCTACTAATCCATCGGCCAAAACCCGCTCGAGAAGCTGTGTGGCGTGCCAAGCCACGGAGGCCCTGACCACACGAATGAGCCAAGCCGACAGTGAGCCTTTGCTAGACGGCTGAGAAACAAAAAGCAGTAAGGCTAAAACAAACTACATTCTGTGGTTGAGGTGATGTCCTTTATTTTAACCTAACCTCCTAGCCAAACTGAAGTTGTCATAACTTGCGTTCATTCGTTCCCTTGTTGTCTTACTAAAATTCAATAATAAACAATAGACTACTACATTCACACTGAACTCTGTTTGTTTAGTCACTGTTTTATGTCTTTGATATATTTAACCTCACTGTGCATTCACTTTAGTTAGTTAATAAATTTCACCTAAATCACAGGAACGGTGTGTGTACACGACTTTGATATGAGACTGACTGATGGATTAAACTGATCGAAAATGATTGACAATTATTAACTAAATGATCACTTGTGAATACATGTAATTATTAAAGCTATACCCAAGGAGTCCTAAAGCCTTGGGCGGACAGAAAATTTTAGGTGGTGCCCCAAAACGAAATTTCTGAATTAATATTTCCAAATATTCATAATTTTATTAACCAATAAATACGTAGGTTCACCACAACATACAGGGTGAAGCAAAGCATTAGAAATACCTTTTATTATTAATAAATATACAGTCATATACAACCTCACTACAATCTGTTTCACAAAGCTAGTATTTATTGCTGGGCTATCTGTACACCTGCTTGGAATCTGCTGACTTTTAAAATCAACTCAGGTTAATCAGTGTGGTACAAGAAATAATCTTATAGCCAGTCTATCAGGCTAATCCTTGTTTCCATCAATGCTTCTTAGACGATACATACGGCACAGGTGTTATTGTGTGTGTGTGTATGTGTGCGTGCGTGTGTTATTTTTGTATTTTGAGTTTTACACCTTTACTGTAAAAGACAATCCTTTCATCTTCAGTGGACTACATTTCAGTCAGAGTTAGCTAGTTAATCAGAGACAACTACTGTTCAGACTCAGTTTGTGGATGTGTGTAGGAGCTCACCATAGCCGCCGGCCTGGATGGGGGTTTTAGGAGAGGCGCAGGCGTACAAGCTGAAGTCCTCCGTCTGAAAGCCAGCTCGGTTTAACGAAGGCTCCGAGGCGCTGCGGTGGATTTTGGGTAATGACCGAGCCAGAAGCTCAATGGACGCCAAAATCTGACAGAATTCACAGCACAGCCACAGGGTCATCATTAAGAATCAGCATGATCACCATTCACAACTAAACACAATCCAACAAAACCATAAACAAAGATGTGTGCTGTTAACAAAGCCAATCAATTCTCAATTGATTAAAATCTGTGAGGTAATGGGACAAAGTAATGTACAATTCACAGAAAGCAGATAAAAAGAAATCCATCCTTTTTAAACATTTTTGAAGATCAGACCTATCTTTGGAGCCTACATCACATCCTCCCTGAATGATTCAAATACCAGTGTGTCACTTTCAGTCGCTAATACAGGCCAGGGGAAAAAACGTCGAGGGGGATTGGAATTACTTGGAAAGACTTTGACACGGTATCCTCTAGTGGATCGGTGGGTGTATAACACACTTTCACATGATACCGGGCTGAGAGAACAGGTAAACATGAAGGCAATGTTGAGTTTGCGTTAAAAGCAACATCTTTAACGAACACGTGATAAAATATAACAGTTAGAAATGAAGGCCTGGCTCTAATACAAGGTTTAAAATAAATATCTGGTTCTCTCTGCAAGTGAGGTAAAAAGAACGTTTACAATATTCATTCAAAAATTTGATATCCCTTCCTCCTTTACTGTAGCAATTAATATGCATCTGTTGCCTCCCAGTAAAACAGAACAACATTAGCATTTATTTTATTCTCACCTGAGGGAAGAGAGGCCGCTCCTCTCTCTTCTTCTTCAGGCAGTCAGCCATCAGTCTCTTCATGGCCTTCGGACAGTTGCTGCGCACCTTGCTGAGGTCAGGAGACAGGTAACCTCGACCCACCATAAATATGATCTATGGGGGGAGAAGATGTGATAATATTTGGTTGCAGGGATAAACAGGCTGTTAACATTTTGTAGAGCTGTAGCTTCTAACAGAGCTCAAATATTAATGTTAGGAAATGTGACTGTGCTGTGCCACTGGAAGGACATTTACACTGCTTACTTGCATTGACATTATTATTATAATAAAGTGATAAGCCTATTATTGATGAATTAAATAGCATGAAAACATATTAGATTTATTTAAATTAAATTGAGACAAAAACTTTAATGAACCATGTAAATTTACTGAGAAAGAAAAATGCAATTCAAAAATCTTCTCTATTATAGTACACCTTTACGTCATCATTTCATCGTAAAAGTGGTCAGACAAGATAAGGAACACGTTATCTTTAGCTCAGGGACATTTTTCACAATTTTTTGCTTTTTAAACATGTAATGCCTGAAACTAATCAATAGTAGGAGCTATAGGTGGTAATTCATGTACACCATTAATCTGAAGTTTTTGTACAGGTTCTCTGCAGTCAAAGAACATGTAGCTCTTCACATATAACATCACAACAAAGAGATGTGGAAACAAAGAACAGGTAAATAGACATTTCAGCTAAAAGCAATTACAATCATATTGGAGGAAATGGAGGCTGATAAGCCCATTCTGTTTATTAGATTTGAAGGCATGCTGGTGGTCCACCAGAAGCCTACAGCTCTACAGTTCCCCTGTGGTTTCCCTTCTCCTGATCTTATATAATTAGCCCGTGCAGGGAGATTTACTTACACCATTTTTAGTCACTGAAAGTATCAGTGTTGAAATGGATAAAAGACTAAATGAAAAGAGCTAGGTTATAGATTAAGTATTTATCAAGTATCTTTACTCAAACCTTTTCTTAGAAAATCCTTAAAACTTATAATTAAAATGTCATGCATAAAATGGGTTTACATAAATGAGTCACACAAACTTATAACATCTCTTTCTGTACGCATTCAACATATAATTTCAGATACATTCAGATGATTGATACATATCACCTACAACAAGTTCATCAGTGAACTTTAGAGGTGTTGGTAGAAGTATTTTTGAACAGATCAGGCTAGCTGTTTCCCCCTGCTTCCAGTCTTTATGCTACGCTAACCACAGTCTGACTCCAGCTCTGTACTTAACACACACACAAACAAGAGATAGATATCCATCTCACATTTCAAGAGAAAGTAAATGAGCTCATTTCCCAAAATGTTGAACTACTCCCTTAATGATGAGAAGAAACGTTATAGGATGACTTGGTATGTTATGACAATGCATGATGGATCCATTCAAAATACAAATTCAAAAGTAATTTTATTTGGTCGGGGCAAAATTAGATGCTCTTGCATGCAGCTATGTGGCAACACATCTGCAAATTAAATGTTTGACCCAAAAGTATTAGTAGGGCTGAACGATTAATTGCATTTGCGATATTATCGCGATGTGATAAAAGGAGATTTTCTAATCGCAAAGGCTGCGATTACACTCTGGTCACATGACACCCAAGCATAAAGCCGTTACGCTGTACCTTGCCTTCTTGTTGTACAATGGCCTTAAGCTTGACAGAAGCTGACACTACATAAACTTTAGCGTAACACAGGGAATGTAAGTATCAGCTGCCACCCGCGGGTAACTTGGTGGTGGTGGTGGTGGGTGAAATCATCGGGCCATCCGCGGCTTTGACGGACAGGAAAAATGCACAACAGAAAGACTCGTGTAGTAAGGTAAGCGTATTGTGGCGATCGGCGCCTGCGTCACACACACAGCCAGCAGTCAGCTCAGGAAGTATCTGTGAAACGGCGTTTCAACCCAAACTCACAAGTCCGAAAGAGTCTGTCCTGCGTTACAGCCGGTGCGCTGCTCACCAGCATCGCAGGTGATGTTGGAGAATTACTAAGCTTGTCTATTAAACACGAGGGGCTTGGTTTTATTTTCGTTGGCCAACTTTTGAATTGAACCTCAAACTGAATATTTTTTGTTTGCTTGCTGGGATACAGAAAGATGGACTCCGGGGAGATATGAACTGAGATAAGGACGCATTAATTGGTGGTTGAACTGTGGGTTTTGCATTGAACGCTTACTGTATAACACACTGTGGTGAGTTAGTTTTTCTTGTGGTCTGTAGGTAGGCCGACCTGATGATATTATATCAGACACGCTGCATAGTGAACCATGTGTGACGGGGTTTTGGTACGTCTGACCAGGAAGCTACTGAGCTGTATTCTGACTACAATGAAAGAAAAAAAAAAAACATGTTTTAGAGCAAGCTGTGTTTTGGTTTATTAAAACATAGGAGTCGGTGTGACTTATTGAGTCCTCTTACCTGGTCTCTGTTGTTGATGTTGGAGTAGGGCAGTGCTCCTGACATGAGCTCGTACAGCACAATGCCGAAGGCGTAGACGTCTGACTGGAAGCTGTAGGGATTCTTGTCCTGCAGCCGGATCACCTCTGGAGCCTGAGAGAGAACAGGTTACCCTGACGGTCACATGACCCAAAGAAAACTACACACTTCTAGCGCATACCTATTGTAGAAACTACACGGAAGGGCCTATCTGGAGCTAGTGTTTGGTTTGTCTGTTCTGGGCTACTGTAATAATATGGCATGCAACCTGGTGAACTCTTTGAGCGTGGAACACTAGGTGCTTCTCTGTCTCAACGGTTCTGTCTTAACTATGTAGCGGAAGGGGAGGACCACCATGTATTTTTAAATAGCGGCCAAAGAAGCTGCAGCGGTTGTGATTGTACAAGTATGTTAACAACCCCCCCTTTTAATATAATTGAAGTCAAGTGAGCAAACAATCCAGCAGATATTTTGGAAGGTGACAATCGCGGTCAGATGAAGACAGTCATGATGATAGTGAAAAGATGAGTAATTATATATATATATATATATACATACACATACATACATACACACACAGTATGTGAATATTCTATTAAATTATACAATGAGACATAAATGTATAGATCTCTTTAGTTAGCTTCTGTCTTTATTTTCATTTATTCACCTTACTATTAATTACCTTATTTATTTATTGTCCTTTATAATCTTCTTAATTACTTCTTTAAATTTGTATATTTACGTCTGTGTTTTAATATTATTGTCTGTTTTATTCTTCCTTTACATTTTCTACCCTATTTATTTATCCTCATGAATATTATATTCCATATCTGCCAATAGCTCCCCCTAAATGTTACACACTGGACCTTTAACAGTGAAGCTGATAAAAAGACAAAAGAAAAAATGTAAAACTGGTTAAGTGTAAACTTAATGAAAGGTTACTGGTAGGAGGGTGGGAGATGCATACTAACCATCCACAGTATAGAGCCAGACAGCTGCTCAAACTGGTGGGAGCCACTCCAGCGGGATTTGACTGTAGCCAGACCAAAGTCACCAATCTTCACTGTCAGATCCTCGTGGAGGAAAATATCTGGTGGAGATGGGGTCAAGGAAACGCTCTCGTCTTCTGCTCCTAAGCTCTTAACATCGTAAGAGCTCTCTGCATTCTATGGAGGGAGGTTATACTTTCATCCCTGTTTGTGTGTTAGCAAGATAAACTCCAACATAATCAAAATTTTTAATTTTATTTCACAGAAAGAAAAAGAAACCAAAAGACCTCAGCCTAAAGGTGAACTGTGTAAAATGTTTCAAAAAAAGGATGCTGTTGCTCTTCAGATCTCTGTGAATGATTGATTTGGCATGCAGGTAACTGGGGAGGAGAAGAGAAAAGTAATTAGACAAATGACACACATGGAGAAGTCTGACTGCTTTTTTAAATTCGTGGTGGAACTCACTCCATGCCCTGAGCGGTCTGCCGAGCGATGTCAATCAGCTTGATCATCTCGAACTTGGTCTCGATGATGTGCAGGTGGTGGTACAGACTGGAGCCTTCACACCACTGGGTCACGATGGCCAGCTGAGGCTTGGTGGTGTAGCCCATGAACAGCAGGATGTTCACATGACGCGTTTTCCTGCCACAAACACACACACACAGGTGATAAAATTACAGACTTGTAGCAGTTTTGTATAGCTTTGGAAAAGGAGGAAGTTCTAAATACGATATTAGTTTGTAGTGCAGTATTAAAATGCAAAGTGCATACAGTATATTCCCCTGATTAAAGACCAGGTGGCAGACATTACCTGAGGACTCCCACTTCATTCTTGAAGGCCTGAAGCTGCTGTGGTGTGGGAGCAGTGACATTTAACATCTTCACTGCCACATCACCTGGAAGGAGATGGAGGATTGTCTTATATTCAGGCCAATATGGTCAGTAGTGGCAACATTTTCCCCTAGAATTATAGTATTTCAGATTTTAGTCCAGATTGATTTGGCCACGCCTATGGTTACAGCGAGTATATTGTAATAATACATATCCCAGACTTCAGGTTGAAATGACTTGTGTATCAACCGCTGGGGGAAGCAATCCCACATTGAGCAGCTTTAAAAACACAAAGATAAGGCTTTTATTCTATATTTCTCCCATTGTCAACAAATCCAATGAAGACCAAAACCAACAATGTGTTTGTCCATTTCTCAAAGTAGCTGAGGGTAAAGGTGATGGACTGGCCAAGCATGTCTCCAGACCTAAACCCTAGCGCAAGGTCTCTAACATCCATAAGCTCCGTGATGTCGTCATGGAAGAGGACTCCAGTGGCAACCTGTGAAGAATGGTGACCTCCATGCCCAAGAGGGTTAAGGCAGTGCTGGAAAATAATGGTGGCCACATAAAATATTGACACTTTGGGTCCAATTTGGACATTTTCACTTAGGGGTGTACTCACTTTTGTTGCCAGTGGTTTAGACATTAATGGCTGTGTGATGTGTTATTTTGAGGGGACAGCAAATTATAGAAAAAGTTATAGAAGCTGTACACTCACTACTTTCATTTCTTCAGTGTTGTCACATGAAAATATATAATCAAACATTTAAAAATATGTAAGGGGTGTACTCACATTTGTGAGATACTGTACATCTAAGAAACTTCCTCACAAAAAGTTTCATTTTAATTTCCTAAAACAGCTCCCCACTGTTGAGCAAACGTTGCTCAAACAGGAAGAAATTGTGCTTTGTGGACTATTTTCAGCAGTGGATTAATCCACATTTGGTGCTCCAGCGAGAACTTATCAAAACAAAAAAAACCTACAACAAATGTGTGTGTCTGTTGAGCCGATGCGCAGATGATGTAAACAGTTTCCTAACTTTCTGCTAGTGGTCTGAAAACAGATTAACAGAGCGTTGGTCTTACCATGCCACTTTCCCTTGTAGACAGTTCCAAAGGATCCAGAGCCTATCCTCTGACCCAGAGTGATCTGACCCTCCGGGATTTCCCAGTCATCACTGGAGTCCCTTCTCCCCAGGGTTTTCTGTTCCATAGGACACTCAGTCAGCACATGCACACAGATAACGAGCTTCAGGAAAACCTGTGCGTCAGTCTCTTACCATCTTATTGCGGTCCTCAGACGACGACGACGACTTGCGCTCCCTCTGTTGGCATGGCGACTTCTGCGGAACCTTGACACTGGTGAGAGAACCAGGTAAAGAGGCAGGAGGCGTGGCAGACAGCCCTGTGGTAGAGCCTGGAGAGGGATCAGGGACGAAAAGAAGGGAAACAATAAAAAAAAGAGGAGGTGAGGTGGATAGGAAACACTGGTACAAAAGGAAGGTGAGATACAGCAGAATAGTAAAGAAAGACGGGGTTTGGGCAAGGACAGGGACTGAGGAGTCTGGATCAGTTGTGTGTGTGTGTATGTGTGTGTGTGTGTGTGCTGGTCACATGCAGGAGAGGTGAGGGGGTGCTTGGTCGGATGGCAGTTAATGGTTTAATAATCTAGACTTCCCAAAGTCCATCAGTGTTACTAACATCTAATGTCCGGATCACAACAGGTTTCATATTGTTGATCAAAAAAGGAGCAAACTTTTAAACTGTAAACTGTCTCTGCCTCCAGGTCGTGAAGCAAGGAAAATGTCTGTGCCTGAAATGTGTGGAGAAAGAATGGAGGGAAGGGGGGTCACAATGAGTAACTAGTTAAGTAATGTGATTAGTCTTTCGATAAGCAATTAAATACATTTTTAAGTAACTTGCCCAAGGTTACTTCTCAATAAGATGTCATTCTTTTAAAAGCCAAGTTACAAAAAGACAAGTATCGTTACCATGGCCACCTGTCAATCAGGCCAGAGTGACTCGTACCCACGGCACTGTGTAAATTTAACCTGCGCTGTTGAAAAAGCTTATCAGGAGTTGGCTTCTCACTTTCTCTGGTGAGTACATTTAATTTTAAGACTGTCGTTCGCTAGACAAAATTATCATCCCGGTTAAAATGACAGTTAAAGTAAATTACAGATGCACCTAGCTAAGCAAACTCCACACGTAGCCGTGGGCACCACCATCTCTTCCAAATATGGTCACTTCCAGTGCCGCTGGTTGCAAAAAATCAACATGGTGGCCCCCTATTGGCAGTCCTGAAACCAACAGGTGACGTCATAATGACTATGTCTTCTTCTATTATACAGTCTATGGTTTTAAGTCAGTATTTAGTGCTGATGTTCTGGGTCAGTAAGAACAAAACATCCAACCTGGTGAGGTATCTGGCTGCCCATACACAGCTAATGAATAAGCCATCTCTAAAGATATAATTAGATATTAGATAAATACCCAGAAACAGCTGTAATATCGCTAACTGTTGCCTCCAGGGCAGAATAAAGTAGGTCCACTTGAGGTAAGCGAATAAAGAAATTTTTTGGTGAACTTTTCCTTAAAATACTTGAACTCATGTTAAATATGCTGCCTTTTAAAATTTAAATGTGTGTGCTTTCACACTCTGGTAGATATTTCATTTTCATGCCTTTTGAATGTGACTAAAGCCTGAACAAGCGCTGCCTCTTGTATTACTTGAATTTTTACAAGTGTGCTATCATGGAGTAGATCTCAGTAATTACTGATTCATTATTTACTATAACTTATGTTACATGAAAAAAGGAGCATTTCACGAATCATATCACCATCCATAGAAAGAGTAGTGTCTGATCAGAGTAGGGGTGGGATCTCTGCGCAACCTGGGAGCTATCAGGTGTGTGGTAGAGAGAGCATGTGAGGACATAAAGAGAGAGGGGGACACACAGTGGATGTGACATAGGGCAGGGTGTGGTGTGTGGGGGGTGGGGTGATGTGGGAGGGGTGAAGGACACAGGAACACACAGAGGCCTAACTACCTCGGAAAACAGGCTCGGGCTCAAAATCAAACACTATGTCATTGGGGTAGGAGTATAGGAGGGGGCTTGAGGTCCGTGTTCGGTGCTTCCTCAAGCAGCGGGCGGGGTGGGTCGGGGGGGCTGCAGGGCAAAGAGAAACAGACAGACCATCACTGCTACTCACCCTGCCCCTCTCACTTCTGACCAACTACTGTCCATGGCTACAGCTGAGCTTTAGGATGGACAGTCCTCTTAACGGTTAGCATGTTAGCTTGGCTCTGTCTGTCAGGGTATCTGCAGGTCGAACACTGCTGAATTTAAGATATGTGTCATACATTTCAGTGTCAACATTTTGGGAAATACTCTGGAAGTGTGATGGGAAGATCGATATCAATTTTATGTCTATTTGTTAAGTATAGAGCTGGAGTCAGGACTTGGTTAGCCTAGCTTAGCATTAAGACTGGCAGCAGGGTAAAACAGACTGGCTCTTTCCTAAGTAAAAAAATACACAGGCTAATGGCGCGTCCACATACAATGCTAAAGTGTGTTTTGCATGGCGCAATTACATACAAAGTCAATGCAGAGAAATAGATGCTTAGTCGCTACAGACTGACGTAAATTGGGTGAATATGAAGCACATATGCAAAATCTGCGTGTATCGCAGTGGCTTTGCAGAGTGTTGTGTGGACAGGAGCTGGCAGAGCGGAGGAACTGAGCCTCTTCTCGCGACCGATAGCCACTGAGGGAGGGGGAGCTCAGCTGCAGCGAGCCACCAAGTTTCTGACCTCCACTGTTGTTTTTGTAGCCGTCTGTGGGCACCCAGAGCTCTGTGAAACTACTACCATATAATATATACAGGAGATTGCTTCAACAAATGTTAGCGAGGAAGTTGAACTACATGGTAAGTTCAGAAAGTAAGTGTCTGTTACTTCCAGCTATTGTTGTACTTTACTATGAAACAGTTAGCATAGCATAGCCCTGATAGATCCGAACACCATTTAGAAAACAAGCATTTTAAAATTGAAGTACCGCGCTATTGGTCAAGCCTACCGCGGAGGATGGCAATCACCGCAACAACCGCAATGTTCATACTGTACCCTTCAGGCCTTGTTAAATAAATAAATGAGTGTTTCAAAAGTTCCACAACTGTAACAAGCTCTGTAACGGTTCAAGGATGGATCGCCATGGGCTGTACGTGACCCGACTTCAAACTTGGAAGCTGTAAGTGTTGCCATGTATTGTGTTGTTTTACTGTTTATTTTAAAAGTTAGCTAACTTGGCGTTAGCATATTGCGTGGCCAATGTGGCTAGCAGGCTCGACGATTTTGGACTAACGTAATCCTGAGGGACAGTGGAGAGAAACTGAACGGTAAGCCTCATTTGAAGCTCACTTGCTAACGAGCGTAGTGTGTCGGGTGCCTGCAGCTGTTTTTCATGTTGCTTTCTGTTGAAATCTTTTTTTATAAATGTTACCACAGCGCAGTCGTTAGTTGCGGACACCCGTGTGTGTTGCTGCGTATGTAAATTAACTTTATATACGTGCCCTGAAGGTAATGATAGTTACGTGTGAAAAAGACACGGTCAAAACTACTACTTACTTCACCGCGACAGCCCTAGCGGACAGACCCGCCAAGCATGAATATAGAGTATATGTTTAACAAATCACCATCATGTAGTTATTTCAGCATAATTTTGCAAATGTACTTTGTACATTGCAATTAAAGCAATCGCATTACTCGCAAAAGTAAACACAAATAGCCCAGCGGTCAAACTTGCGCCCATTAACTTGATGTGAAAATAATAATTCTTTGTGAACATGCCACAACTAATTCACACTTTTTATCTTGTTTGGTTAATCCGTACACACAAAGTAATTTTACTGAGTTCCACAGAAAAGACAACTAATGGGTTGGGTTATAAACACTATAGCGGTTTATAATACAGTATGTGCGTTTAGCATGACTAGTAGCTTGGAGCTGCTGTGGCAAGGTAATGTTGAAATGTTTTTTTCTTTTCGATCACCACTATGAGCTGTCTGAACAACGCTAAGTTACTAATATCTTATTTTGAGCCATTGCCTGGCATAGCTTCTGCTGCACATTATAGGCAGATTATAAATTTCATCTACATTAAATAAACTTCCAAAGATCTGTAGAGGTACAATTATACCACAGAATGGAAGCAAACGCAGTGAGGTCACTTGAGGGCGGGGCTACGAGCAGTTTGTGTGTTAGCTCACCCCCACTTCCAGCTTGCAGGGAGGGGAACAAAAAGAAAGCACAAACAGGTGTTTCCCAAAATGTTGAACTGTTCCTTTAAGGAAATTGCTAGTTTGAAACTAAGTAGCGCTTACTATGAACCTAGCGAGAATTTGACAATTTTACATTTGTTGCACTGGGTTCATTAACAATGAGTGCCGGAAATTCAATGCAAAAGTTGTCGCTGGAAAATAAGAGCTTTCATCAAAGAAGTCTGTCTGATACATAGCAGGAAATCTTAACATTTTGTCACAGATCCAAACAACTTTAAAAGATTTCTTAAGACTGTGAGGGTATTCGGAATCATTTTCTCTGTGAACTACTGCATCTACCTGAATAAGAAAAAAATACTACAGTTACCACTATATGTATTTTGATGTAAAGCCAGATTCAGCTGTTACCCTGTTTCTTACCCAAAGCTTGTAACCTCAATCATCTTTACATCATGAAGACCGCAACAGGCCTCTGATTTCCTGACGTCTTGGTGATTTTATTTTCACTAAACGTCTGTAATGAAGTTGAAAAATGTACTAGCTACATGTATTTCTCCTAATTCTCCAAAGTAACTGAAGTGTAAAAAAGTAAACGAGGTCCGCTCAAGATGAAGTTCTGTTCTTCCAGAAAACCTGACCCACAGATCTGAATAAACATGTGTGTCCTCAACTACTGCTCACAGTGACCGCTAGAGTGCAAGACTAAAAACAGCTGACTCCACATCTGGGGTCTGAACTCCACACACACACAAAAGACCAAGAGCACGCAGACGTGGGATGGTGGGAAATAAAAAGCCACAGAATGAGCCCGAAGTCTCCTACTTTGATCCTTACCTCCATCTGACCTTGGTAAGCCCTGATCTCGAATCAGGTCCTTAAAAGGAAGGAAGAAAGGACATTAATAATATGAACACTTTTCACAAAAATGATTTACTGTACAATTTACTGAAGCAGCATGAATGAACGATGGCTCAGCGAAGAGAGAGAGACGGTTCAGTTTGTTCGCAGTAACAAGCTAACAGATTTGTTGTCGTGGTAACGTACTGTAAGGCATTTGTATTTTACAAAGGCAGCAAACAGCCGTACATGGGCAGAGGTCTCAAATCATTTGGATAATTGTTTTCCGTATGCTCACATTTTCCACACTGAAACCCGGGGGCCGGCCGTTTCATTTTCATAGTCTCATTACTCTCTGCAGAGCGCTTTCAAAAAGCTAAAATTAAGAATTGCACTTTGGATTTACCCACTTTAGTGTGGACACAGTTTGAGATCACAAAGCACACGTCAGTGAAATCAGCTGCTGTTTGGTGGAAACGGAACCTGCAGACTCATGGAGGCCATTTATAGCATATGGTACATAGATTTATCAGTCAGTCCAGCAAAGAGAGAGCAGACTCACATCAATGTTGACAGGCTCGATGGTATTGATATGGACATTGGGAGCGGAGGACGAGCGGTCCCGCTGGCCAAACTGGTTGCGGTGGTCCTCCTCGTTGGGCCGGAAACTAGGCGGGATGGGTATGGACTTGGACGGGGACACAGTGGTGTGGCATATTGACCTAGAAAGATGAAATTTGTTAGTAAAAACGTGTCAAAGCTGAGGACATGCAGGAGACATTCTGACTGCACATTTATTCTTTTTGCTTTATTAACAGACAGAAGACAGCAGAAACGCATTACGAGGAGAATTCCTCCTCTTGTTCTGAGGCGTGTGAAGGTACTCACCCGGTGGAGTCAGATGGGGGGAGGGATGGACAGGCCTCAGACACTGGGGTGGTCCCCTCTGAGGAGACCTCCTCCTGGGTGAACGGGTGATGCTCAAAGAACTTGGACACTAACAACAAGCTGCAAAACACACATCATCAAGGTTGCTTATTTTTCATTCAGTCACTCTCAACACAACTTGACTTGGGGCTGAAGCCTAACATACCTGGAAATGAACAAGGAGAAACTAGATGATGCCATGTGTCAGACCCTTCATAACACCCTCCTTACCAGAGACAGACAAACTACAAAATGACAGTGTTGGCGGTTATCTGGTAAACAAGCCAGTGTCTTTACACTCAGGGAGTGAATCCTAAAACATTATGGAAATCCAGATGGACAGTTTAAAAAAAAAAAGGATGAAAATGGATGCAGCACAAACAGAGATATCGTCTTTTTGATTCCACACATTCTTCTTCCTTGTCAAAACCGGCCTCCTATATTACCCACAATGCAACTTGGCAGTTCAGCTGGAGATGTGGGTGTATTATGCTAATAGTGGCTAATGTAGCCTGCAGTGATAGACAGTAACTAAGTACATTTACTCAAGTACTGTACTTCAGTACAAACTTGAGGTACATTTACTTTACTTGAATATTCTCTTTCATGCTACTTTCTAATTCTATTCCACTACATCTCAAAGGGAAATATTGTACTTTTTACTTTACTACACTACATTTCTCTAGCAGCTTTAGTAGTACTTTATTTAAAAAGCTTTTTACACACAAAACATATGAAGAGTTAAAAATATTATGTTTTGTTATAAATTAAACTACCTATAGTTTACAACTGCGCATACAAGTGCAGCTGAAACGATTAGTCTGTGGACAGAAAATGAATTGGCAACTATTTTGATCGTTTAAGTAGTTTGGCACACAAAAACATTTCATGGTTCCTGCTTCATAAATGTGAAGATTAGCTGCTTTTATTTTTAATTATTTGAATAATTTGAATGTGTGGTTAATGATGTTGAGAATTGGTCTGTTGGCTGGACAAAACACGTACTGTGGGTAACTCACGGCATTTCTCTTTTTTTCAGAATTTTTTCAAACAATCAATCGATTAATGAAGAAAATAATCAGCAGGTGAATTCATATTGAAAATAATCATTAGTTGCAATCCGATAAAAACATGAGCTCAACAACTATAGCAGTAAATCCTGCTTTTACATGAATGTATGAGGAATAATAATCTCTTGATATCATATTTACTGGTATAACAGTCACAGGGACATTTTACTGCATTGGGTACTTTTACATTTAATACTAAAAGCACATTTCCCTGATTATCCTTACATGGTTTTACCCAAGTAAGATTTTCAATGTAGTACTTTTACTTGTAACAGAGTATTTTCACAGTGTGGTATTAGTACTTTGACTTAAAAGTACAGAGGTCTGGTAAGCTCAGTTCATCCTAACTTCACATCTCCAGAGCGCTTTTCATTTTCAAACTTCTAGTCTTCAGCCACAAACAACGGCTTTACACAACTTTTTTCACATATGCAGTAGTACTCCAACACCTGGAAACACACTAGGATGTGTAAAATAGTTCCTTTAAAACTAAACAGCTGTTGTGGCTTGCTAAAGCAGAAAAATGGCCCATTTTGCAAAAACTACATTGTGTGTGCTTACATTCATTGGAAAGAGGTGGTACTGAGTAAAAAGTGACGGCCCATTTCAAGCACTGTAGTAATAACCAAGATCACAAAGGGTATTCTTGTACCATGACACACTACATTGTACAGTAGGTTCTTTACCAACCTGGTTACAGCATCATGGTCCCTCCCCCTTGTGTGACTTACTCTAGTTGGTCATAGTTGACACACATGAGGGGAACCTCAGTGCTGCAGCGCTGGTGGAACTTGTAGCCACAGGTCTGACAGCGGAAACCCTGGAACAGCAGCTTTCTGCAGAAGTCGCAGAAGGCCAGCGTGAAGAAGGTCTTCCTCACCTGTAAATGAAACACAAACAGATTAGGACCAAGTAAGGATGAGCAATAGAATTACTGCATAATGTGTGCCGTCTGTCATCGGAGTCATGATGTTAGATTTGATCTAATTGTACTTACAAAGTTGTGTGTGGTGAGCGGCACATTCTCCAACACTTCTACATGTAACTCCTCTCCTGTCAGCCAGGAGATGTCTGTGTCCCAGCCAATCGGCTTCTTTTCTCTGAAACAGGAAGTGGAGAGTTAGGGCAACTGTCGACACCTTACACTGCTGTTGGTTTAAACATCATATCAAAAGTTGTGCGGCTGTGGCTCAGGAGGTAGAGCGGGTTGGCCGTTAATCGGAAGGTCGGCGGTTCAATCCCCCTGGTTGCGATACTGAACCCCGAATTGCCCCTGGCGGCTGTTCCGCCAGTGTATGAGTGAGTGTGAATGTTAGTTTGCGTTTGAGCACTTAGGCTCAGTGTATGAATGTGTGTGACTGGTGAATGCAGATGTAGTGTAAAAGCGCTTTGAGTGGTCGAAAAGACTAGAAAGGCGCTATACAAGTACGGAGCATTTACATTTACAAGCAATCATTAGCAAATAACACGCTTTTATATTTATTTATATATACACATACATTTATATACATATATATTTATTTACTTATCACAGCAGTGAATTAGAGGGTGCCAAATCACACAAAAAAACAATTACATAATGTTGCTTTGAATATGATGTGCGGCATCATCTGTCCATTGTTTTCTTCCAGCCTACTACTGTATCTCAATCAGATGAGCATAACTGTGTTCATGACTTATATATTTACTTTTAATTCAATTCATGAGGCATAATGTACAGATGCCATACTTTTTTTCATGACGCTTTCGTTGATTTAGCCTAATAAGCTGATGTCAGCAGCTCATGTCATGATCATAGCAGTTTAACTGGTTTGGTTCTGTCATTATCTGAATGAACATGTACGTATAAATTATCCATATTCCACCTACCCAACTTAATATTTTCTCAGATTTAGAGATCCATACCCGCTCGGACATTTCTCTCCACCTCTGTTGGTCTTTGCAGTCTATACTGCCTTCTAAAATCACGCCGAGCAGCGCAACCTTTCCAGGTGATATCTTTATTATGTGTTGTACTGATGTACGAGTGTTTTCTTTAGACTTTATTGTCCCAGAGGGAGGTAACTTTACATAACAATTTTCTTTAACGATAAGAGAGGCCGCTGTCAGTCATCTTAAATGTTTCCATGTCCGCAGTACAACATGGGACAATTAAAACAGCAAAACCAAAAACTATAGTGACAAGAAACACATTTTTTGATGGGGCTCAGGATTGATCAGGAGGAAGGCTTCTTTATTCCAACTAATTTCACTTTATGAACCTGGACTGTGTGTGAAACATTTTAGATGTGTAGAAGAAGACTGATCCTTAATTTAAATAATCAATAAACACACTGCTGTGTGGCCACTGTCAGGGTAAAGAGACTGTCCTTTCTAATGGCAGGAAATTGTTTCTCCTTACATCTAATCTTTTTATGCATGTACTATTATTATTACTATTGTACACACATTGTTTTTATGATGTCTTTTAACCTTTTCTTATTCCTCTCCTCTCTTTTAATGTTCTTTCAAGGCCGGGAGAGGATCTCTGTACCCCAAAACATAGAACATGGACCAGCTGATTTTCTTTGTAGTACTTCTACAAATTTGGGGTTCAGTATCTTGCCCAAGGACAAATCGACACGCAGACAGGGATCGAACCACCGATCTTCGAATTAGTGGGCGACCTGTTCTACCTCTAAGCCACAGCTTCCCTGTGTCAAGAACCCTACTGAGAGTAAATGTGAGTCAAGCTGCTGGGCCCTTCCTGGCCACGTACTATGAACATGACACGAGCAGCATACCGCTCTGTATGTGTATGTGTGTATACAGCTTTATTTTATTCTATTAAAATTTAAATATTTGTATGTATGTTCTGTAGTGTAGCATTAAGGGGATACAACTTATATTTCATTGTGCAACCCTGTGTTGTAAATGTCAAATAAATGAATGTTGATCCCTTGATACTTTGAAATTGCTCCCAAGATTGACACTTTGAATTTGACATACTCTGTAATGAGAACGATGCTGCTGCTTCCATGTTGTTTGGGTTGACTTCCTCCATATACCAGAATGATCATGTGAGCAAACACAACTACTGTTGCAGTAACAACAGAGAAAACATACTTTTATATATTATTCATAAAGCCTACTGTATTGTTCACTTGATATAGTATGCCAAAGTGTGCAGGGCTAATTACACAAACTGCAGCAATAACTTCCATGTAGAATAGTCAGAAACAGACACACAGAACTGTCTGAACTGGAAGAAATCAGAACAGCTCAGAGATAATGTAATGTTTCAGTATATGGATTATTAGTGAGTCCACTCAAGTGTGTTCTGGTCCTGTCTATGCAGTACAGTATGTACTTACCCGTCTTGTATCCTGTAGACTGCACAGCACTCTGGAATGAGGCCTCGCATCATCAGAGCTTTCTTCAGCGAGTCTCTCACAGTCATCCCACAGCGGGCAGGGACCTAAACACAGCACAACACCACTCACTGAGCTGACATGGTGGAGCAGAGCAGGCCAGCACCAGAGAGGAAATGAGCTGACACAACCACAGCACGTTTGGATGTTGAAACGTTCGAATGCAATGTTGGAGTGAGAATGTTCCTTGTAGTCATTTGTCTTGGTGAACAGTGTTTCATGTGTGGCGGCAGCAGGGCGTGAATCTGCAGTTTTCCACTATGGAGCTCATCAATGTGAAAAGGGGTCACCTACATTAACTAATTTCCCTGCGCCTCACACTGCCCATCCAACTGCAGAGAGTCAAAACACTGAACAAAACTTCCTGTAAATGGACAATAAAATTACTGTCAGCCTGCGCAGGACTGCTCAGCTCTAAAGATCCAAGATCTTAACAGAGAGCCTACAATTCTCAGATGTTGTCCTTTCCCTGTAAGTCTGACCTACAATGAAAAACTAGTAGTGAAAGGGTTACTTTTATTTATTTCAGGGATTCAGGTTATTTTTACTGAAATGAACAGGGCATGATTATCTCACAGATTCTGACAAGCAGCAAGACCGAACACAGCCTCTGGGACCAACCGAGGCCCGTTTGAGGACAGGGAGTTTCTTGATTGACAGATAGCTTTACTTGTTGCTAAAGTAGCTGCTAACTGCTGCTATTTGTAGCAGCCATCAGCTGGTTATCTTGGCTGCCTGTATTCCCTGTCGTGTCGTCAAACCGCAAACCGTCCTCTGTCAGTCCCTGAGGCAGTGTCCGACTGTTCTGGCTTGCTGCTATGTAAGAAAACCCCGCCCCCTTCATGTGAGTATAACAGACGGAAATAAAAATAGCTGGAAAATAAATGTTGCATTAGCAAATAAAAGTTCCCTGATATAAGTCCTTTTTAAAATAAGAACTAATTTATACATTTATTTAGTGCCTCGTTTATTTATTTCATAGCCATAACTGTCAACTCTTGTCTGGGACTGCCAACAATAGTGTAAAAATGCCTCAAGCTTGCCAGACCTGTCTTCTCTCTGTGCCATGATCACAATGGTTTTCATAACAATCAAGAACCACAAAGAAATAAGAAAGATATAAGAAGCACAAGATAACCTGCTGTCTTTCAAATAAGGCTGGGGGATAAAAAAATACATCCCGTTCGATATCGATAATTATCACGATATATGTCAAATCGGTATTTCTTTCACGTTTCAAGGCTGATTTTTGCTCCTGAGTAAAAATTGAAGAAACCATATGGTTAATTATGTGGATAAACTTTTCTTTACGGTCAGAATGTGACAAACACTTGATGCTAAACAGCGGATTACTTCAATAATTTGAGGTAGAACATTTAAAACTATATTGATAAAATCTTCTTTCCAAAAACATGATTAGTAAATCTTGTTTCAGTCCATTTCCCTCAAAAAAAAAAAATATTGTATCATAGAAAAATTAAGTGCTAATTTGTTTGTGAATTAAATCAAACATTTATTGACGATATATTGAACATTTGTTATATTTTTATTGAGGAAAATCATCTCACGATAATTATCATTATTGTTTTATTGCCCAGCCCTACTTTCAAATGTCTTCTTCAGAGCTAGACTGATATATCGGCTAATATTTGCTTATCACAGATGTAAGTATGAATGTATATCAGCTGAACTCTAAAAGAAGTTTATAACAGTAGAGCCTGAAAAAACTATTATCACTCAGGCTGTAGTCATATAAGTTCAGTATCCTTTAAGTCATCTTTTTTGTTACTCCAAACCAAGCATTTTTGACACGTAGAGAAATGTTTTTATGTTGTAGATGTGCTTATTTAGTGTTTTCTTAACAAAAACTATGACTAAATATGTCAACTGCCTTTTTTATGACAGATTATGAAACGGCATTAAAGTCACTAAACACTAACCGTGACTAAATTAACATGGAATATTGTTGATGAATAAAGACTAATCAGACTAACATATATAGTTAAAATAAAAATAATAACTTTCTTTTCATCACCACAAAACAGGAGACGCTAAAAGTGTGTGGAACTGTAGCAAAATATATCTGGCATCAAGAAATTATCAGCCACCTCACACATGCTTCAAACTATAAACCAGCATAAACCCACAACTCGCCACTAACAAAAAGTTATGTTTGCATTTTGGAACATAAAATAACACACTTAAAACTACTGAGTCCAGCAATGCATGATGGGAAATGTTATTTTCTTTGACTAAGATAAAAAGGTAGATTTATTTGCCACATTACAACAGGTTGTAAAGTGAAATTAAGTTTGTTAACTAAAATACAAATAAAACTAAATGAGGTTGACCAAACATGATAAAAATTAGACTAAAGACTAAATTCAAAAACTTAACCAATATTATCACTAGTAGGACAGTAGGACAGTGGGTTGTGTGTAGTTAGTTCATGTCTGTAATAAAGAAAATGTTATTTGTCATAAAGAGCAACAGTTTACTAATATATATTGCAAATTAAAATAAAAGTGGTTTTGGTTTCTTATAATCTTTATCCAAAATTTTAAAATCCCGTCCCCTACATATGTATCCTCAGAGAGGGGGTCAGACATACCACAGTTCTCTGTTTGTTAGGCAGGAAGACCCTGACGATGGGCTTCTGGGGGGAGCGAGGGTTGGCTCGGCTAGCATCGGCAGGGGTCTGCAGGACAGCCAAGGTGTTGGGGGCTGAGGGAAAGGCCTGAGCCCCCCCCTCCAACACCACAGCCTCCCATCTTGACCTCCAGAAGGGCTGGCACGGGAGAAGAAGAGCAGGAGAAGTCCGTACCGTTGCCCATGGCCTCCAGCAGCTGCTGCTCCCTCTGCTGCAGGGCGTCCAGTTTACTGGTGTATTCCTCATAGGCCTGACGGAGACCACACACCACAGAGCACTGACTCAACAGCTTCAACACCTGCAGTGACATTCACATTTATTTTTCTACAACTGTCTTCATTAAAGCCAAACCTATCTTACCTCTAGATATATGGAAGGAGGATTATGTTCTCCTCCGAACTTGTCCAGAAGAGCCTCTAAGTGTTCTTGTGTCAGCTTTATCATCTGTTTGATATTCCAGATCTGCAGGGAAACACACAAACCAGTGTTAGCAAATTGATATTTTTCAGTAGGCTAAATCGTGAGCAACGTATAATCCAGAGTCAAATTCCTCGTATGTGTACACATACCTGGCAATAAAGCTGATTCTGAATCTAAATGAACCACCACCAGAGTTGGAAGCCTACAGACTCAATCTTCCCCTGACGTAGTGTAACGGAGCACTGATGTCCAAAAGATTCTCATTAATACCAGGCTCAGATTACACCGTATTTTTGCATTTCGCAATGGTCGCCGTGTCACATCAATCATAAATTCTTGCCATGACTTGGCTGAGAGACACGGCAGACCACATGAACCGATCGGAGCTTTCTGTCTTTCAGGACTTGCAGAAGCTACAAAGGTGGTCAGAAAGAAGGCACCAAGGACAGGCCAGATTCTCGACCAACCAATATGTCCTGCAAGGTGTCTCGGGAGCTAGCAAGCTAATCTGTATTCTGTCGTATTTACTGCCATTTTTCCACTGTTGACTGTGTGAGCACAACATTATCACACAGATCATACTGGCTGTGCGTTTGGCCATGTGGTTTGCATGAGCTTTTTTTTTTTTTTTTTATTAATGTTACAATTGACAAATTTCAGTAGGAATTGATCGATGAAAATGAGGATTGTTGTCTTTATACTACAGTGGCGTCAGACATTCTCAACGGATCAGCTGGACGTCTTATTCTAGGAGATAGAACCCGGCATTAAAGAATTTGAGAGAAAATTCTGTGACAACAGTAACACAGAGATTAGAACATAACAATATATAACTTACAATGAAGATAACCTTAAATGTGGTTTTCAAATTCTAATTAGCCAGACGCTACATTTGCATGGAGTATTCATGACGGTATGATGTCATAATTACTTTGAGGCTTTAACTTTGCTTCTCTCATAATCAATTCCTTCCACTTGTAGTTATATTAAAATCACTGCTTAAGGCCTGAATAGAGGTGAACGAATAACGAACACAGCCAGTTGATTTGCAAGCATTACGGTGTTCTTCCCTTTGCTTTCGCGAAATACTACAACACTTCCAGCTGACGTTTCACATTAAAAAGGGAAAGGAAAGGAAAGGTTTACGGGGAGCCTTTTAATGTGAAACATGTGCAGGATGTGTTGAGTTTCACTAACAGTAGCAAAATAGCAAGAGAAACAACAAAGTACAACTTTATTTATACAAAAAAAGAGAGAGTGAAAGCAGAAAAGTGGTGAGTACAGGGTGCAAAATTTACTTTCTGGTAACTGACCTAACCACCCAAAATATATTTCAACCTGCAATAAAACTGCATAAAATGTCATACAAAAGGCAATCTCTCCTCATTAGAGATGGGTGATAAACTTTTAAAGCAACATTATGTAGCCATTTTATCTTAAAATAACACCTTAAACATCTTTTTGATGTACACTGACTTGTAAAAGGGTGAATGGCATCATTACCAATTTGGGTTTGCAGTGCCAGCTACTGAACTATGTAACACTGGAACCGCGGGCAGGGCATGGAGTAACGTTAATGGTTTACAGCGCCAACAGCAAGCAAGCTCTAAGAAGAAGCAAAAAGTACTAATGTACAATGTAAGCTCTCTGGAAGAAGCTAGCTCAGTGTTTTCAGTATGGATATTGTAGCAGAGGCTGCGAACGGACTGAGGAAGATGTTGTCGAAGGAAGAGAAAGGACATGAGTAAATATCAGACTAGCAGAGCTGAAAGGATTCAGACAGATGCCGAGTTGGTCTTCTGGTCAGTAATAACTTGTCTTGTTGCTAGCTATAAATATCCTGTTGATGTTAGCAAACTAGATAACACACTCTGACATCAGTAACTTTACTCTAAGTGCTCTTGCGTCGGTTGCTGTCTAGCTTTGTTGGCTAGCTCCCCTCCCAAGTTTCAAACATTATGCTGCTGCTGGTGGAGAGAAGCGCCGATGTCAAACTAACTGAGCTCAGCAGCCTCTGTGGACGGAGCATTAGCTAATGACAGAGCGAAGAGACGGAAGAGGACGCTGACAGAGGAAGCTAAGAGAAGGAAAAAGGTGACCAAGCGACTAGTCAGTACTATTGTTGTGTCTTATGTTGCACTGATGTTTGGCTGTGTTAGCAAAGTAGTCGATAAGTATAACATAAGTAATGTAATACCAAATGCAAGTGTACAGCTATACTTATTTAGCAGTGTTGAACTGCAAACAGTAGCGACGCCAATTTCTTAAATGGGTATGTGATTTTTCAAAATAATGGTAATTTTTTAGAGAAAAAAAAACAATCATTACAGTTAAAGGCTAATTACATGACACATACCGGCCATTAATATCAAATGTATTACAAAAACAAATATAATATGTTTACAATTAAATAAAAAAAAAAGCTTGTGCTAATAAATGAAAAACTTTGTAAAATAGTTATTTACAGAAATGCTATGATCAAATAATATAAAAATAAAATAATTATAAATATGAATTAAATAAATTAAAATACCACCATCATAAAACATTCAACTTTTTTTTTTTAAAGGTTGTGTGCTCAGTTCTCGGGTCACATATGAGCCCACTCAGTCATGTGACAGGGGGCCAGCAAAATATTTCAGGGCTGTTTACTAGCACAAATATTATACACCACTGCCACGTTTTGTATTAAAATAACTTTATTATTGATATTATTGATATTATTTTGAAGGAATCGATACCACTCTCACCTCCTTATCTGTGAAGCAACGCTTCTTTTAACTACAATTCCCTCGTTCTATCCTTTCAAGTTAATATACTCCGGCAATGTGTAACCACGTACTTGCAGACTCTGTAGTACTGGTGCGTTATTTTTTTCCCCCTACATGATTTTTGTTGCTCACGTGACAGACACCAGCTTTGCGTCTAGATCAGCCCCCTTCTCTGCCTCCACCCGCCTCCACCCTTCCCCCTGACCCTAACCAACCTAACAAATGGAGGCCATGAGCACTAGCCAATCTGGTGGGGAAAAAAATAACGTGGTACTGGTAATCAAGCCAGGTAGCTAGATAAATAAAGTAAGAATAATTGTAGTGACGGTGGATTTATTCAATTATTGATGGTCATCCTTTGCAAGCCTCCACCAGTGTGCAGTCGATGCAAAACAAACGTGGTCAGTCAGCTTATGTGTTGCAGGGATGAGAGTTTGTAGTGAGGTAGGCTTTCTTTAATAACTATAGGATTCTATTATCCATCCAAATAAGGGCAAACTAGGGCTGAATGATTAAGCATAAAAACTGTGATCTTGACTCATTCCTTTCTGGATTCTCAGTCTTACATGACAATGACTTTCTCATATTTGCATTAGCAAACCAAGTGCTCCGGATTTCTCCCAAGCTGCGGCATCAAAGGACATGAATAAATGAATAAAGAATTACAACCACGTGAAGAACTGTGGGTAAGCAGAAACAAAAACAAAACAAATCTAATGTGTGTGAGAGAGATGGAGGAGGAAATGACAAGAAGTCTAGAAAAGTCTAGACAAAATATAATTCAGTATCATAAAGCTATGAAGGTCAAGAAAGACAGAGAATCCCTGCTGTTGGACAACACAAACACCGCTAACAAGTAGGGATGCACCGACTTTTTCAGTCCCGATACCAATACCTGGGCCATGGATAACAGCAGATGCTGAGTGCCGATCTGATACCAGTGTAAAATGAATATTCCTCACTGTGAGAAAGAGACTGGGGATCATTATTTTATGTGTGAGACAACAACAGGCTGATTTAAACATTGCTTCCTAACTTTTTAAAACAAACTGCTATGTTAGCAAAATGTTCTGGTCTACTGGCACACTGCTGACGCATCACGTAGTACACGCGTAATTGAACTGAACAGATCGGCTCCAAAGATCGGACCCCTTCTCAGCAATACCCAATTCAGCTATCTGAGCTGAGCCCTTTCACTATCTATGATTGATCAGGTGGGTCTCATAGAAACAACGAGTTTACAGACAAAATATTGTTTTATTTTTACAAATAGTTTTCCATAAGAATTGAGAGAGAAATTGTAATCTCAATTCTACGTGAGAAACGTGTGATTCTCCTCTTAGCTGGAATCGTGCAGTCAATGAAAACACAAACATTCCTTGAGGTTTTAGTTATTTTTTAACCATCCTTTCTTCAATTTGACACCAATTCTTTACACCATATCTATCAATATTAAGAATTTCATTCACTGGATGAATGAATGATTAATTACGTAAATTAATAGAACTGGATTTTGGATTTAGATCCAGTGATACTGAGAAAAAGCTTAGAATTAGTTTAAAAAGTTCATTTTATTAAGTATAACCATGTGTTGTTAAATGAATCACCTAGCAGGCAGAATTTTATAATAAATCAATAGATAATTCATCATAGTGCACATTTAGTCGCCTTTTATCTTTCCTGTCAGAGTTATGTTCTGTTGCGAACAGACAGGCAGGGTTCTGAAAACTCCCTGGCGTTAACGGATGCTGCAATGATTGAGGTCAGCAGCAGAACACCTGCAAAATACCTTTTAAAAAAGGCCCCAGCTCTCAGCAGTGGTGACTATGAGTGAGTTTCTACCGCTGAAACTTTTCCAGAAATCTGCCAGGGACTCGTCAAAATGGGTTTCCTGCCTCCCAAAGAGTCCCTGCTCAAGAGGTTGTACTTTCTGGTAGCACAAAAACTTTTAAGGTGGAGTTTGCTGCACTGAACGACAGGGTATAGAATTTAATAACCGCCATTTTTAAAAACCTGCAACAGCAAACTAGGTCTACTGATGATTGCTTAATATTGCGGGGCCTTTAAACATGGTGGGAAATGGAGAAAGCAATGCACCTCTTAGGAAGGAAGAACCTTTTAGTTCTTGCAATAATTCCTGGACTTCTGAGCTAAAACAATTAGTTGAGTAATCAATTAGTCAATGCAGAGAAAATTAACTAGCAACTCTTTTGATTGATTAATCCTCTTTAAGAAAAACACCAAACATTCTCTGGCTCCAGCTTCTCCAACATAAAGATCTTTGACTGTTGGTGACTATTATTCAGTATTTACTGACATTTTATGGATAAAACAATTAACTGCTTTATCAAGATAATAATCTGCAAATTATTCAATAATAAAAATAATTGCTGAGTTCAGACCTTACTGAAGTTCAGTTCCTGCGACTAAAACGTCAAAAAATAGCTCTGAAGCAACATTTGAGATTTTTAAATCAAACTCAAATGAACTGAAGTCAACAGCTGTCTGGTAGGAACTTAGGTTAAAAGCAACATTTTGTAAAATGGCCAAAGGTGAAGAACTGACAACTTTGTAGGTAGAGACCTTTAAAGTTTTATGTCAAAGAGTAAAGCAACATGTGTCAATATAAACTATTTTATGGTCTGTGGTATTTATATAAGCTGGAGTTATAGGACTTAATTAAATAACTAGAAATTAAATGAAATAGGAAACCCACCAATTTTTCACATATAGTTCATGTTTAGTCTTCATGAGCAGCACTCGTCAGCCTGTGAAAACAGTAGTATAATGTCTTCTGTGGCTCTGCAAGAGCTTTGTCAGGTCTGACAAAATAATCCAGACGATGACATAGTGATGTCGTCAGGGTTACCTCAGGCTGGCCTAATATATTAGAGAAGTCAGTGTTACAAACGGGGATTGTGGAGTTTGAAAAATGTGGGCATTTACCAGGCAGGAAGGGTCTAGTGAATAAGTGGTAAGGGTTGCATTATGCGAAATGTAGGGTCTAGTATTTCGGAGCTTGGCCCATACAAGGGACTAAAAGTAAGGATATGTAAACCTCTGCAGCGCACACGTATAACATTTTTTTGTCTCTTGTGAGTCCACAACACTTTTTGGAAACACATTAAATGTCAGCATCTCTATATTATCCCTCTGCTCCTGACAACACCATATAAAACCATGCCTCTGTCAAACTGGCATATTAATAAGAAGTGTTGCAGTGATGAGAATCTTTGGACATTAAAATTGGACCAGGGGCCACATTCTGACAGCATGAGACATTTGTCATTTTATGCATGAAATGGAGAACACACTGGCCTCTGTTTTATTGTAGGGGCAGGGCGTGTGTTATTCGTAGTAACATTATATATTACAAACTTTTAAATCTGATGTTGACTCTGACTGTCAGGATCCTGCTGCTGTGGTGTAGCCTACTGTCATGGTCCAGCAGTGAGGCCTCTGACCTGCAGACTGAAGACACATTTCCAGCCTAGGCTACATGGTCACTGTGCATTAAATGGCAAGGACACAGCCTGAATGATGGCTCCGCCTGTGTGTGTGTGTGTGTGTGTGTGTGTCTATGGACGTGGGGGCGTTGATTGTAAAGCCAGTAATATAAATACAAGTAGCCTGTGTAGCTAAATTACAGCCCAAAAAAACAAGCACGACTGGAGTTAGCCCCCTCTTCCATCATCATCATCATCACCACCATCACCTCTCTGAGGTAACGAACCTCAGTCGACTGGCGAAAATGAAACTCCGGGGACATTATATTCCACTAGAACGCATTAGAAAGCGTGTCTTTGTTGCGTCAACAGCGGATGTGTGTGCTCTGCTGGCGCACCAGGCTGCAGCTGCAGTGAGCCTGGAAAACCAAACCAGGAGCGAGTGGAATAAAGCAGGCCCGAAATAAACACAGGCTCCGCCGAATCAAACATTCCTCTCCTGCTCACAGCAGTCTGTCGCATTTGTTGAGTGGAAGCCGGGGGCTGTGAAAGCTCAGCACGCAAATGGGTCGTTTTACATTTCGTGCATCGTCTTGCCCCCCTGCACTGCATCCCCCAAGATCCATGTTCCAGCCGGTGTTTCCTGAAGATTTACATCCAATTACCTCCGCTCGGAGCCCGTGTCCCCTGCCCAGCTTAGACCCCCTTCCCCGCCGCCATAGCGCTTACCTCCTCATCCTGCGGACCTCCGGGGATCCCCGACATGCAGGAGGAGTCCAGCTCGGCACCCAGCTCCTCCAGGCCCCGCTCCCTGCCCGGCTCCCGCTCCGCGGTGTCTCCGTTAAAGACGGGCGGTGGGGACTCGGCGCTGCTCAACGCCGCCATTTTAAACTGCGAGAAACTGAGTGGAAAATAATAGAGGGAAACGAAGGCTGGTTCTGAGGACAGGAGGGGGAGACAGAGACGCAGACGGAGCTTCCAAGCCGAGACTGCATAGGTAGCACAGAACTACTACTGTTAACCTGGCACAAAATATATTATTATTAATAATCATTATATACCTGGTCAATAACAGGTTTAGTCTCTCGCGCTCTCAGTTCTCCAGTAGATCATGGAAACGTAGTCATTAGCCACGAATCACTTTATGGTTTATATTGGCCTTATGGTATTAAAATAGGGTTCAAATTTTAAACGGCAGTGCCTTGTTGGGGCCCCTGCCCCCATCATTCCCCATTCACTGCCCTCTAACTGTGTATGTTCCCTGTAAACTCCAGTGCCCCTTGAGTAGGCTACAGTGAATGCAGACTACACCACAACTAAATATTCGGCCCACAGATCCAGAAACCAACCAGTTTCTTCTGTCCTGGAATAACCGAACTGGGTAATACAGTACTGTTAAAAGTTGTTCTAGACCACAAGTCCTGCTGGAGTTTTTCACCTCTTCGAACCTTTCCCCCTCCATGCACCTTAGGTTAAGTTGGACCAGAAATCCCTTCTCTGTTCTCCTGGGCCCCAGGTTTGTGCATCAGTTAGTTGGTGTTTTTTTATTTATAAAACACAACTTTATCTTCTTAATATTCACCATGTGAGCACAACATAAACAATAAAGGTATTGGAACTAGATTTTGACACAGGGCCCCAACAGAGCCTTTTCACACTTCAGAACCTAATTATGAATAATGTTAATAAGGATAATAACATCTCTTGACTTCTGGTCCTCTATATGTTCCACTGCAGAATACAAGTCTAATATATTGCAGAGACCCATCATTATACTCAGTCCATTGGACTTCTCAGTCATCCAGATCATAATCCAAATAAGGTTAAAATCAAGGGCAACTGGACTTGGTTGAAGATACTAGAAGACATTTCGTCCCTCATCCAAGAGACCTCTTCAGATCTGACTGACTGGTAGGAAAACTCAGCTAGGTTAATTAGTCTCAGACGAAACGTCTTCTAGTATCTTCAAACAAGTTCAGTTGTCCTTGATTTTAACCCTCTTTGGACAGCTATGGCCCTTATGCGACTAGTTTTCATGTAGATTACATAGACTTGCTGGAGTGTTCCCCAACTGACTTGAATTGACCTAACTATATGGCTTATTGGAGACACTTAAATTCTCCAAATACACCAGCAAATTAATTTCAACCTAATCTACTACCTTTTGTTAGAAAACTAAATGACTTAATTAGAAAAAAAGTGTATCTCTGTCACACTGGACCTCAATAATTATATGACAGTCTTATATAGGGAAAATTAATCATACTCAAGACCACGCTTACTGGAGACTTCATATTGTACTTTAGTGGTGAAAATTCTCAATTACCAGATCTACTTGACATGCAGTGGGGATTTTGGGGGGCCGCTAGGGTCCAGAGGCAGTTGGTCATCCAAGCTTGAAGCCACTCTGTAACTGTGAAAGTGAAACCTCCAATAGATCATGGAAATGTACTCCAAGACAAAAAAGGCAAGTATTTTTCTGCACTTTATTTTTATCTGTCCTGTTTTCTGTCCTGTTCCAGACAGCAGTGACCCAGTGCATGTCAGAATATCCTGGGAGCTACAGGGTTCCACAGCTCAGATGTGAGAAATTGTACATACATGGTTCTTCCAGTCATAGTTTAATTGTGTGCGTGTGTGTATATCTATGTCTATAAAGAGCTTTGCAACACTCTACATATACCTCACATTGATTTTATTTGGAAAACATAAAGATGATAATTTTCCAGCCATTCCATTAACAATTACACCAGCGAACACTTCCTCCCAGGTTGACATGAGGTGCAGTACAGCTGCAATAGACCAAACATTGTTATTATTCTATTAATCTTGAAAAGACATGACCATAGAGCCAGAATAGTGACTTTAAATATTGACATTAAAATAAAAATTTGGCATTAAAAACAAAACCTTAACTGACAAGGGATATGTTGTCATTGAAACACTTGTATTGGGAAACGTTGTATTAGCAATGAAACAAGTATTAACACTGACAAGTTCCACAACAAAAACCCACAGGAATTTAAATAAAATTATTGCATTCTGATGTGTTTTTCAATGATGGAAATATTCATTTAAAACCAGGGAAAAAACTGTAAAAAACAAAAACAAAAAAACTGAAAAAAGAGAGACATGAAGAAGATTTTCATGAAAAACATCAGAACAGTTTCACAAAATCATTTTTAATGCCTGTGTTTTATTTCTCAGTGGAACTTTTTCAGTGTTTATTGCTATGAGCTCTCAGATGATCATATCACATCAGGTTGTTTTAATAATACCCAACTGAAGGGCTCATATTAACTGTTTTTGACCCCATTCTGTTTTTGCAACTTCAGTGCAAGAGATCAAATACTGTTCAAATACTGTAAAGAGAGAATGTAATTCACTTCAATTCAACCAACACAGATGAGAATGCTGACCTAAGGTATTATTCATGCCAAAATAGAAAAGCTTCAAACAAAGCAACTGGACAGTCCTGACCGGACCAATGGAATTCTTTCAGGATTAGCATCCCCCCACAGTGATGGTGTACAGTCCAATGCTGTCTGCCTACAACCCCCCCCCAAACAAGTCTTGTGTAAAGGTGGAGCTGCAGAAATGTTGCAGCTCATTTCTTCTTGCCCGCTCTCTTCCCCTCTCCTTTCTTTGGTTTCCCTTTTCCTCTCAGTTTCCTCAGGCGAAGCATCTCCTCCTTGAAGTCTTCATGCTCGTCTCTGAGAAGGAAGAGAAAACATTTGATTAAAACTGTCACCATACTCACTGAGGGTTAGGTCCGCACAAATACCCGTCTCTTAGATGTTTCACATTTAAATGTCAACCACTTGCAGCAAGGACTGAGGTCACAACCTGTGTCAACATAACAGAGTGGGTGAGCAGTTTCTAGAGTACCTGAACAGTCCCAGGAACCTCAGCTTCTGGGTCATGGCGTAGTAAATCTTGTGCTGTGGGTACCAGTCATACACCTCCTTCCTCTTGGCCATGGGAGGCTCCTGGAACAGCTGGACCACCTTCATAGATCTGGAGTCTGTCGGACGCACAACCTCCCCAAAGATTTGTGCGCTCAGTCTGGCCATGCGCACGGCATAGCTGGACAGACCGGTGGCCATGACTGATGAACAGAACAGAGAGAAGACTTGAGTAGGTAAAGCATTAGGGTTGGGTAATGTTTAAAAATTTACGATACAAGTACCAAAACTAGTGAAGTGATGCTGATACATACAGAGTAAATCACTCGATACAGTGCGTAAAATGCCACCTGATGAAGCCATAATAGTTGACTGATATTGTTATTATGGCTTGGGATGTGGTTTCTATGCTATATTGCCAAAAGTCTTGGGTCGCCTGCCTTTACATGCACATGAAGGTTAATGACATCCCATTCTTAATTTGTAGGGTTTAATATGGAGTTGGCCCACACTTTGCAGCTATAACAGCTTCATCTCTTCTGGGAAGGCTATCCACAAGGTTTAGGAGTGTGTTCATGGGCATTTTTGACCATTCTTCTAGAAGCACTTGTGAGGTCAGGCTCAGATGTTGGACGAGAAGGCCTGGCTCGCAGTCTGCGCTCTAATTCATCCCAAAGGTGTTCTATCGGGGTTGGGGTCAGGACTCTGTGCAGGCCAGTCAAGTTCTCCACTCCAAACTCGCTCATCCATGTCATCTCCAAACTGTTCCACAAAGTAGGGAGCATGGAATTGTCCTAAATGTTTTGGTATGTAGGAAACAGTTCAACTACTACGCACTCTAGCGAGGTCTGTAGCTACTGACTCTGCAGAAAGTTGCCGCAATGTGCGTCTCAGCATGCGCTGACCCTGCTCTGTAATTTTATGTGGCCTACCACTTCATGGCTGAGTTTCTGTTGTTCCCAATTGCTTCCACTTTGTTATAATACTATGGAATATTTAGTAGTGAGGAAATTTCACGAATGGACTTATTGTAGGCTTGTTCCGATTGGCGATTGGATCGCTAATTGATGATCGAAGGGATGATCAGCAATTGATTTTCATGCGATAACTAACTCACTATCAGAACTAAGATGACATAAAAACAGTCTCTAGAATCTGCACCCCCATTTATTATTTGTGGCGACACGAGACACCACAATATCAACACCGACCGCCACATACCAAATGCTATTTATCCATCCATCCATCCATCGTCAACCGCTTATCCTGCGTACAGGGTCGCGGGGGGCTGGAGCCAATCCCAGCTGACATCGGGTGAAAGGCGGGGTACACCCTGGACAGGTCGCCAGTCCATTGCAGGGCCACACATAGACAACCAGTCACACAACCAGTTATACTCACACCTAAGGACAATTTAGGGTCACCAATTCACCTAGCCTGCATGTCTTTGGATGGTGGGAGGAAGCCGGAGCACCCGGAGAGAACCCACGCAGACACGGGGAGAACATGCAAACTCCACACAGAAAGGCCGGGGCAGCCGGGGCAACCGGGGTTTGAACCCACGACCTTCTTGCTGTGAGGCGACAGTGCTAAACACTAGCCACAAATGCTATTTAATATGATTAAAATCATAATTCATTACGGAGATGCGCACAGCGCATAGATTCACTCAGCACCTCCGCTTGCTCTCTCTCTCTCTCTCACACACACATTGAAACGGAGCCGTGTGTTTATAGAAAACCTAATGATTTGAAGTTCTCTAAGAAGTTAGTCTATCTATTTTCTTAACACAACGCTCTCAATGTCAGAGACGGATATGCTGACGTTAGAATACAGCAGGGTTGTCGAGGTTAGCACGCTGTACATAGCTGCTATCGATTGCTGCCCCCTCCTCCCCGCCGCGTGCACGCTGCGCCAGTTACATGGGAATTCTGTGGGAAACACTGTACTGTGCATTTACAGATGTTTAGCTAATAAGCCTGTTTCTTCCATGCTGGCATTTCACTGGCTTGCTGCAATGTAACACCGCCCCCTGGTGATCTGATCACCAATTGGTGATCCCAAGTAGCCATGATCAGACGATATGAAAATAGAGACGATCGCCCGACCCTAACTTATTGCACAGGTGGCCACCTATCATGTACCACGCTTGAATTCACTTAGCGACCCATTCTTTCGCAAATGATGTTATACACCTGTGGCCATGGAAGTGATTGGAACACCTGAATTCAATGATTCGGAGGGGTGTCTTAAAACTTTGGTAATATCGTGTATTTGAATAAGAGGAGTGAAATAGTTTAGTTTTTTCTTCATTTGTTGAAAGTCAACCACAGAACAATTTTGCTAACTTTGGATCAATAAATCTTGTAGAACTGAACTCCCCCGTGAGTGCTTTTTCCTTTAGTGCTGAGCCACAAACCTACCGTCAAATATACGACAGGAACAGGCCAAACCAATGGAAAGCCAAGCTTGTGGTGATAAACTTGTAACAATGATGCCAAAACACAGAGGTGATTCATGATTGTCCAGTGGCTATGCACTATAGTGATTCAAAGCATGACATCTCTTCCTTATGATTTTACGATAGTGAAGGTTAAGGTGCCACCTAGAGGTGGTGACCTGTTACTGAAGAGACGTGAAGCTTTCTGGATCTTCACATTGCAGACATTGTCTCCCAAAAGGTATGGCTGGACAATTAATGAAAAAGGTAAATCGTCTGTGTGTTGACTTTCTAGTATTCCAACCACTCAAAACGCTTTTACACTACGTCACATTCATCCCATTCACACACATTCATACACTGAGCCAACTGCTCAGAACAGAATTCACATTCACACGCCGATGGAACAACCATCAGGGGCAGTATCTTGCCCAAAGATACTTCGACATGCAGACTGGAGGAGCCGGGGATCAAACCGCCAATCTTCCACTCTACCTCTACCGCCTGAGCCAAAGGGATGGGAATCTCTGGGCACCTCACGATTCGATTCCGATTCAGAGGGGGGCAATGCGATTATAAAATGATTATTGATGCATCTTGATGCTTTATTTTTTTCTATACAGGATCCCAGGATAATTACTAAGCATTTAATTTGCACATTAAAATCCAAAAGAAACAATTAGCTTAAAAGGACTAGTTTGCATCCCTAATTTCCTTTATTAACCTCAGCTCCTTGTTCCCTCATTTCTGTAACAACCAGTTGTCAGATTCCTGAAAACTGAAATATAATTATCAGGATGTACAGTATGTGTACAGGACAGAGCTGCACACCAGTTTAGTCTAAGCTTGTAACTGATGTTCTCAACCCTTGACAAGTGACAAGTAGGTTAGCTGACATACAGCTAATTAATATTACTTCGTTACTAATTTAGATAATGTTTCATTGCAACGTAACGTGCTGCACATGGGAGATGTTAGCAAGCGCTAACAGCATTCACTTTTCCAGCAGGTGGGGAAACTACAGACTTTTATTAACACACTGCACGTTTACTACCAGACTGAAACTTACTGCTAATATTTTTCTCTAACTTTCACCATCATGTTCTGCCGCTCTCTCTCTCTCTCTCTCTCTCATTCGCTCGGCGAATATTTTTACATTTTTGCAAATAAAGTGAATTAACTGCTGTGTATTGTGAATCCATTCTGATGATGACAACAAGTAATTTCTAATCGGCCATAGATACAGACCGTGCGGCTGACTGCCTGTAAACTCATGTTCCTTGATTGGCCTTACCTATAGAGAGGTTTCTCTTTATCTGTCTGTAATGTACTCTGTTCCTCGGTTCTACCTCATGAAGGTCTAAGGATGAAACATTGTATCTAAATAAACTTTACTGCAAGGAAAAAGGAGCTCTCTCTTCTCTAATATGGATGCTACAAATCCTCTTTGATCATTTAAGAACAATATAGAATAGCAATAATAAGGAGGACACTTCAGTTATGAAGCTAGATTGGTCAATGCTTTAAATGACACGCCTGGCTGCAGACTTCCATACTGTTTTCCACCTGACCTATACACTCAAAACAAGTAATTGTATTGTATTGCATGTATATGTGAATTTTTTTCAATTTAAAAAGTGCAATAAGAGAAATGTATTTAAATATATATACTTGTGATCTGTCATTTAAGACAAATATTCAGCATTATTTTACACAGGTTTCATCATTATAATAAAATATTTTTCATAAAATTTCTTATCATTAGCATTGTCAAAGATTAAACAAAATTTAGAAGAAAATATACTTGGAAGTAGGGGTGGGACTCGCAGGGTACCTCACGATAATGATAACGATAACGATAATGATAATATCACGATACAGAAATTCTGAGATAATCGATATATTGCTAGACAATCCTAAAATGACACATCACGATATCTGTCTAACTATGAATACAAAATGCCTGTGAAAAAGTTCTCTATTTATTTGTGGCAAATCCAAACTGTTATTAAACTAAAACTACAGAACAGACAGAGCAACTATGAAAAATTATTATAAAAAAACATTTCTTTATAAAAAGCCACATAAAATGCAAATTCAATGAATTTACTGAATTTTTTGCAAAACAAATTACTGTGTACCACCTAGTCTATATGTACATCACATTATATAAATAACTGTTCAGTGACACAGCATTGTGCCGCCCTTTCTCCACCTAGTAATATGAGAGTATAGTGATAGCTGTATTTTTCAGCCACTGGGATTATTGGATTTGAGTTTTGACCCTTTGGGGTTGCCTTAGCTAGTCAGTGTGGAGTGCTGAAGTTAGAAGCTCTTTTTTATTTCACACAGAGCTCAGGAAACATATGTACTTGACGTATTTGCACAGTAACCTTATGTCACTCAGGAGCGAAACGTATAGATTATATATAAGATTATATTATCGCGATGCTGATGTCCGTTTGCACGTTAATGGAGACTCCCATTATATGTTATGATGGGCTGGAATATCGATACAGTATCATGGAAAAATGTATAACGATATATTGCTGTATCAGTTTTTGGCACACCCCTAACATTCCTTGGAAGCCATATTTGAAAAAAAAAAACACCCTAAAAAGAACAAATATTGGCAGAGTCTGGGTTAGTAGGATCTCCAGTAAAAAAGCGACCATGTAGTCATGCTGCTGAATGTGCTCCTGCCCCACTCTGTCATCACACTCACTTTTAAAACACTGAGCTCGTGTTTGTAGCTGCTTCAGTTTCGGGTCTCCATGTTGAAGCTAGGTGTTAACAGACTTTAGGGGTTTGACTTTCCTAAAAGATTGATGAAGACCCCTCATGCAACAGCACAGTGAAGGACAGCCCTTCCTGTGCCCAGTCAACGTAAGAACAGTGAGCCACACGGGGTCTTACCTGAGTCTGTAGCCGCAGTTTAGTTACACACCGAATACACGCAGGTAAAACGCACGTAGCTGTCATTAAATGACAAATATAGTAATTGTAAACGTAGCGAATAATTAATTGAACTAACGTGTTAACTAAGGTCAACCTTCCCACGCCATCCTGCCGTCACACACCCGATGGCGGACATGGATGGGTGTGACACATTTTCCGTGGAGCTGATTGGTTAGTTGCTTTCACTTCCTGTTTCGTATTTTATTTCTAACAAGATACATATTTTATAAATTATACATGCATCTATCAACTAATCATCATTAAAACATAAATTAATACAGACAATATGTCCTTATTAGTTGTCTAATGTATATTTTCTGCACTCAAGCCCTAACAGGAAGTCCGTCGCTCTTAAGAGTTCTGTGGGTTCGACAGGTTTTGCACAAAGTTCCGGTTATCATTTGGCTGTTCTTGTTACTTGCACGTACGCACAAACGCAAAGTATACGTTTGGTTGTGTGTGGCATTGTGTATTATTTTACTTATTTATTTGACGTCATCTTCTCGGCAGTAAAAATAAGCCACAATATGAATGGAAAGACAAACAGGACCACTAGGATTTAAATGCAGATGTTATATTCTTCACAAAAAGACCCCCTGCTCTACACAGCCAGCCTATCTGTTATAGCTGAGATGAAAAAGAGGTTTAAGAGCTGTGTAGCTGTTTTAGCCATGCTACATGCATGGCTCTATGGTGCCCACCACTTTGGTGCAGACTGAAATGTCTCAACAAATATCGGATGTGTTGCCATTAAATGCAGACCTTTCGTTCATAGTTTCCAGGGGATGAATCCTAATGACTTTGGTGATTCCCTAACTTTATCTCTACCGCCACCAGCAGGTCAAATTTTCCTTTATTCTGTGAATTAGCCTGCTCCCCACATCTACTTCTAATGGATTGGCACAAAGAAATTGGTTCATGGTTCACAAACAATGAATCCTAATAATTATGGTAACTCTTCCTCTGGTTCAACTAGCTATTGGATGGATTGCCATGACATCTGTCGCACACATTCATGTTCCCCTCAAGAATTGTAGTAATTTTAGTGGCTCCTAAACATTTCTAGTAGCATAAGGTCAAAATTTGCTTTTCTTTGGTTTGTGTCCGAAAACCTACAAAACTCATGACATTGCCATCAGTCTGAGCTGTACTTTAAAGTATGTTAGTGCAAATCCATGCAGACACACTAACTCAGATTGTGAACTGAGTAAACATCTGCATATAAAGATGTAACTGAAATGGTCAAGCAAATGGTAGGTTAGGACCCATAGAAGGTAAAAATCAAGGACTGGACTTGGTTGAAGATACTTATTCATCCGAGAGACTTCTTCGTTTCTGACTGACTGGTAGGGAAACTCAGCTATTTAATCTCTTTGCAGTCGTTGTCTAAATGATAGATACCACTGGTGCGTTAGTGCTTCTGGATATTGTAACAACAGTCGTTACGGTCAGTGGCGTCACCTACAGTATATGTCTGCTGTTCTACTTTGTTTTGTTTAGTGTGATTTTTCTGAATTTACATCTTGATATTTTTCTCTGTATGCCACCTCTGCATGCCACTGTGAGGCACTTGATATAATTTGAAATAGAATGGGCTTTCAGGCATCCCCTGCATTTTTACCTCAAAGCTCGATTTAAATACTTTTCTTCAGTGAAAGTAGAGTTGCTCTGAATATCTATTGAATTATTGCATGTTTCAGTGACAGTTGTCAGTTCAGTCTACGTGGCGCCAATAGCAATAGTCTATTTTTTTTGTGTCTTTACAATTTATTAACAGAAGAGGGAGCCAGATATGAAGAAACAGAAAACCACAGCCACAGACCCTTCTGGACATTTTCACCTGCACAACAGAGTGTTCCTGACAGGAAACACACAACATAAATATGCCATGAAGACATAGGCTACTTACAGCACAGACTGGCCAAAATGAATATCAGGGACCATGCCATGAACAGGGTCAGAACTGGGGTTTGTTTCTGCTCTTGAGTTACACCCTTTTTATTATATAAAGTCTATGGTTACACCAGAGCAACCGTTAAATCAACACGCCTTAACTTCAGTCAACTTTATAAACTTTATTGAATACATACATACACTGTAAAATATATTACTGTAATTTAACAGTAAATGACTGGCTAATAATTGCAATAAATTCACAGTAGTATACTGTGATTATTTTCTACAGTAACCAGACACAACAGTACTGTAAAATTACAACATGAAACGGTAATAATCATCATATTTACTGTAAACTCACAACAATTTACAGTAATATTACAGTAAATTAGTAATATTCACTGTAACTAAACCACAATATTACTGTAAAACTACGCTATTTTATTGCTAAATTACAGTATGGCGCAGCACACTAATCACAGTAATTACTTGTAATGTTGTTTACCATTTTCACTGTATTATTACCACAACTAAGTAGCCAGTAAATTGGAAAACAAAATTACCCATTATGCATTGTGAAAGCTTTTTTACAGTAATTTATTGTGAGCATTTACTATGACAACAGGATTCACAACAACTGGCTGTAATGTTACCAAAAATTACCCTTCATGCATTGCAGAAGCTTCATTACAGTAAATTACTGTGAGAATTTACTGTTAAACCTGGTCATTAATAATAGTGTGTGCAATTTCATTTATAAACACAACATTGCACTTTGTTGTAGCTATTCTTGTGAATGTTTATTGTACCCACAATATAAAAGTATCAAACAGAATGAACAACATATTAATGAATGAATTTGTGATCTAAGAGTGGGTAGCTGCATTTTTTGGCAACTTGGGGTTAGTTGAACAAGCAAGTAAGTAAGTAAAGTGTACTTCTTATAGCACCTTTTACAGAAAAAACAGTCACAAGAGTGAAATAATAAAGCCAAGAGACAACAATGACACAAAGCAACAACAACAACAACAACGTAACAATAGTCATAAATAATAATCAATCACAACATAAGTTACAGCAATGTAAAAATCATAAAATTGTCAGTCAATAAAACATAAGAGTAACGGACCTTAAAACACAAATGTTTGTATAATTTAGACAGCATGTGGCGAGACAAAGGCCAGCTTAAACAAAAGAGTCTTCAACCGCAGAGACTGCAGAATGTAAGTCTAAGGGAAGAACATTCCGCAGAGGCCACCACTTGAAATGCATGATCACCTTTTGTTTTTCGTTGAGCGATAGAAACAACTATTAAGCCCTGTATTGAAGACCTAAGTGGCCTAGTGGTGACATAAGGGTGAAGCAGGTCAGAAATGGACCCAGGTGCCTGACCATGCAGGGCTCTATATATGAAAACAAGCACTTTAAACTGAATCCTGAACATGACAGAGAGCCAATGTAACAAGATTGGTATAATGTGACTTGTCCTGCCAGACCTGGTTAACAGCCTTGCTGCACTTAAAATATGTCAACTCAACTTTGACTTTCTTTTACATGGGAACTTGAACTTCAGTCTCCTTAGTGAAAGTCCTGAGTTTACTTCACTTGTCCATCCACCCCACCACCCTCCTTCCACAGACTTTGTCACTCTTCCACTCTTCATACTATGTCACCATAGTCACCTGACTTCTTCTGCCACTAGAGGTCGCGGCCAAAAAAAAAGCTAAAAATGATTTGTAATAAGCTAAATAATAATCAACCTATACAGCTGTTTTTCTGGTGAAGATGGGTTGGACAGAGATACCTTTAAATTTGCTAACAATGTGACCTAAGGGGAGAATAAACAAAGAAAATAAAATCAGGCCCAACACAGAACACTGAAGCAGGCCACAGGAAAGAGCAGCAGTTTATGTAACAACCCAGTGACACAGAGAAGCACCTCTTCGAGACATAGGATAAGTACCAGTCCAGGGCTCTCCCAGAGATATCAACCAATGCCTAAGCCTTTGAATCGGGATGCTGTGATCTATACTATCAAAAGCTGCACTGGGATCCTGCAGCACCAGAACAGAGCATTCACCCGAATCAGAAGACATCATTATGTCAGTGGAGACTCTGAGAAGAGCTGTCTCAGTGGAATGCTTCTGATGGAAACCAGATTGGAATTTATCTATAATACTGTGTGCAGTCAAGGCGGCAGTGAGCTGTTTGGCAACAACTTTCTCCAAATTCTTTGAGATAAACGGCAGAAGATAAAAAGACCAATAGTTTTTTGGGGGGGATGGATAAAGATTAGCCTTTTTTAAAAGAGTTTGGCCCTGACATCTCTAATCGTAGCCACAAAAACAGAAAAAGTTGCTGCTATCATTATCAGAAAAGACATGTTGTTGATGTCAAACAGGACTTCAAAAAAATATCTAACTCTTTAGCTGCTAAACGTTCCACTGTGATCACTCTACTGTCTCTCTGCTGTGTGGTGCTGTGCAGGTCGTGTACAGTGGGTTCATCGGAGCCTTTTCTCAGAGAACAGCTGCCTGCTGCTGCTGGAAAGCAGGTTGATGAGAGCTGTGACACTAAACCAGAACAGTGAAGTTGTGGACTGTAACAATGAGCTGGAAATAAATTTGGATTTTTGACACTAATGAATCTGAATCTCGCAAATTTTGGGTCATCACTGACAGGTGTAGTGTCCCATGAATATTAATTTTGCATTTATAAAATGCAATGGATTGCAGGGTTGTACATCTAATGAACACTACTTTTTTTGTTCCATTGGAATTTTATCATGAATAAATTTACGCACTCTTGACACTCAAACTCAACGGGCGACAGTAAATATAGCCCCATATAGCAAACAGGGAGTGATTTCAGACACAGCCTAGGATTTTGTCCTACCTCTGGTAAAATTGCAGAAAACTTTCATCCACATAGTATTCTTTCCATTTTCTCACCCCTAGAAGTAGTAGGATTTATTGCAATAGTGACAATAGAATAAGAGCAGTTATGGTATGATCAGAACAACTGGATGAAGTGATAAAGTGATGAAGAAAAATAAACCTTAAAAGGCCTGAAAATATGTTTTCTCAATCATGAACACACATGTTCTGCCAAAGTTGGACAGTTTTGAGGCTCAGACAGAAAAAGCTGATGTTGGAATGTGTTTGTGCACCAATCAGAGTTCTGCAACATTTGAACAGGTATGATCAAAGCACACCCACATTAGCTCTGTTGAAGGAAGTTGCTTATTCATTTATTACTTTTTAATGTTAGATACACAGTTTTGAATCAAGTTTTCAGAGGCTTTACTAGCAGAAGACCTCACTGGGTAGAAGACTAGTATTGCTAGTTAAATCGGCACAAGGGGTAGAACTATAGGAACAGTTAAATGTAAAAAGCAGTGTCAGCGGTACAAACACTATAAAGTAGATATCAACAATAATAGTCTTCTGCACAGGGCCCTTAAAAGGCTGGGTCAGCAGTGCCAGAGGTGTGGACCCCTATTGACCCCACCACTTCTATCAATTTCTGTACGTTGGGTGTAGGCTATTAGTTAATAACTGATAATTGGAAACTTGATAAGTACAAATGTAAAGCACAATATATAACCAAATAAAATAATAAAAGCCTTCATTTTAACTAAGGGGCTTCTATCAAAAGACTGTGCTGCCTTAATACCCTTATCATTTCAGTTTAAAATTTCAAAATAAAAAACGAGTTGCCACATGGTGAACTCTGAGCCTTCAGACACCTGAGAGTCCGTGGCATGCTTTGCCCAGTTAGTATTCCAGTTGGCTCTGCTTAGGCTACATTCAGCTAATTCAGGTAATTCTTATAATGTTAAGTTAAATTCCAAATGCATAGGCCTACCATAGTAGCAGTAATACGAGTAAGTAGGTTCATGTAGCCTGTGAGCTAACACGGCGCTCCTCCAGGCAGACCGGCGTTGATTGGTCCATGGACAGGCCTGCTATGTGGCAGCTGCCGTCCTCCTATCAAACGTGCCGGGGCTGCTGACTCTGCGCGCTGATCCAGACTCTCTCCTCCTGCTGACGGACTGAGCGGTCTGCATGGACTGTTTGGATACATCAGGTACATTGACACTATCCAAATGAATTACCTGGTCTAGTGGGCTATGGCATTGTGGGCTATTTTTAAATAGGTTTCGGCTAAATGCAGCCGCACCGGTAGGGTACCTGTATCTGTGCGGCTTTTGCTGCCCCCTTCTTTGTCCATCGTTTATTTTAGTGGGTGGGTTATGCAGTAAAGGTAGTTTATGTTGGGCCTATTTTGTGTAAAATGTAGCCTACTATGTGCTTGACTAAAAACCCGAATGCTGTGCTGATGTTTTGTGCATGTTGGTGTCGCCCTTCTCAGACGGATTGATGCTGAAGATCCGGGGCTGAGATGAGATAAGCGTCCTCTATGTCTCCGCCGAGCTGCTGCAGCGCCGAGCACGCAGGAAAGAAGCTGTCACTCTTTAGCCCAAAACGCCGGAATACAGAGATTTAGCAGTTTTTTTAGCCAGCGCCGGAAAGGTTCGCCTTCTATTTGCACCCAGATCGCCACCTCGATAATGGTCCTGACGCTGCTCTCCAGAGGTGATGTGAGCTGAACGTGCGGGGAAGCCGCAGAGGAGCTGTCCGTCTGTCGAGGTGCTGATGCGGCTGTGACAGAAGCGAGCATGGCTGCCGGGAAGTTACTGCTCTACGCCGGGCTCTCTCTTTCTCTCTGCGCCCTGGGCATGCTGGCCGTGGCGATGTGCTCCGACCACTGGTACGAGACTGACGCCAGGAGGTACAGGGAGCGGTGCCGAAGCTTTTCCAGCCGCCGCAAGGACCCGGGCTTCATCTACATCCCCAACAACAGCCTGCCGCTGCGGGCCAGCCGGAGCAGCCTGCCCCGCTGGGAGGAGAAGCTGCTGCTGGCCCGGAACCGGCGGCAGCTGTTCGCCATGAGCGCCGCTGATGAGTGCAGCAGACAGTATAACTCCACCAACATGGGGCTGTGGAGGAAGTGCCATCGGCTGGGCTTCGACCAAGAGATCGAGGACCTCATCCGGAAAGGTAAGATTGAAATAAAAAAGTCAGCCAGCTAAAGAGGCTGGAATTGTTGCAGAAACAGCAGCGTGCATTTCAGACACCAACACGTACGGCCGGGGTGTGCTGGGAAATTAATTACCCTGCTCTGTGGTGATTGCTCCTTTGACCAAAGGGCGAACAAGGGCATCGACCTATTTTCTTGCTAAAGCAAATGTTTGTCCAAAGGCACGCAGAGAGTCACTGTCACTCAGCGTGAGAGTGGGCATGAACGGCCCGTGGCTGCAGACTGCTTGTTGTCATGCTATTTTGCATTAGGGGTATGTTCTATCGGAGCTCAGGTCGGATTTGGAGCTCTCCTGTAGTTTATGTGGTGCTCGCCTGACCCTGCAACTGCAATGACATAATCATTCCAGGGTGTATGGGTTGGCCAGTAACCACTTAGCATGAGACAGGAAGATGTCTCTTTGGTCCTATATCCCCCATCAAGAGTTCACTTATAGGTGCATTCTACAAATGGTCTTGCTTTGTTCCAGGGAAACCTTTACTCCGTTTCCAGAGATCCAACACTTGGCTCTAGATCTGTTAGGTCTAATGTGCATGGCTGGATTCACCTGCTAGGTTGACTCCAAGCAGAAATGAGCTGCAACCCCCAATCTTCCCCCACTCTGGACATGTATATAGTGTTCTATATATGCTGGAATAATACATGGCCCACAGATTAATTTACGTGTGCACCTTTTAAGCACAGCATCACACACTTCAAACTAGATTTTGACACAGGCCCATTTTCAAGTCATGACCTCAGTGGCAGGTAAACAACCACAACACACCTTAAGGGATGGTAACCCAATGATGAGGCATGCCATCATTTATAATAAATTATCATTCATCATTTATCAGATAAAATACCCAACATTTGCATGTTACAGGTTCACAGAATTTTAAGACTTCTTTTGTGGTTGATATCATTGAATACAGTTTGAATAGTGTTTTGGATAGCCGGTGCTAGATTTTTAAGGCCCATACTGATATCAGTATTTGGGTTTGGGAGTTTAAAAAATCTGATAACGATATTTGTGCTATAGTAATCTTTTTAAATATAAACACGTAGCATTAATAAACATTCTTAATATCCTTTTTTATTGTGACCAAGATACTTGCTGAGCAGGACATTTTAGTGTAAAAATAAACTAGTGCTGTCTGGTGGAAACACTATGTAATGGTGACACTGTTTCCAAATGACTTCAGCACCTCTGTACTGCATCTTGTTCAAAAAAAGACAGAACAACTTTTGATGTGTTTTTAAAAAGCCCCCTGAAGCAAATGTGTGATTTGTAATGTTGGACTACATGAATAAAATTGACTTGACTTTTGTACTTCATCTAGACTAAATATTTAATCCAGTGGTTCATGAAACATGATGAGAAACACATGAATACAGCTGTTGAATTTTTTGGGCCCTGTCAATTCAAAAGTCTTTCAAACAACCAGCACAATTCCTGTTTTCAGAAAGGTCTTTGTGACCAACGTCAAAATTCACTTATGGCCCATGTAGTTGATGATAGGGTGGTGATGCAGTGGATAAGACACATGCCCTTGGTGTGAGAGACCCATGTTCGATTACCACTGTATCCCATCCACCACTGTGTCCCTGAGCAAAGACACTTAACCCATCATTGCTCCGGAGGCGTGCGACCTCTGACATGTGTAGCAATTGTAAGTCGATTTGGATAAAAGCGGCAGCTAAAAATGAATAAAAATGTGAAAAAAAGAGATAAATGATACTACACAGGCGTGCTGTGTGTTAAAACAACAGGGAGGCTGAGATTTTTAATGGAGTTTATTGGTCCAAGCTTGTGTGTGTGCGTGTGTGCTTCAGCTGTGCATTCCTTTGAGGATGCCTCAATGGCCTTGATGGCCCACCATCTGCGGTAATGGACATCCCACAGTCAGTGTGCTCAGTGATCAGATGAATGCCTCCATAGAGAGGTCTGATCTATTCCAGCATGGAAAAGCACCGCGTGGTTTGCCATCATGATGCATCTAACAATACCTTCACGCTGATGGGTCACTAAGGACGGAACTGTGGAGAGTAACATACCTGTGTGCTTTACATGTAGGCCTACAGCATAGTGATCTACTAACAGCACTTACAACATTCAACTGCTGGATCGGGATACAGGGACATCCAGCAGCCAACCACAGCACAACCAACAACAATTAGTACCACTACTAAAACTACATCCATTTTTGTTACTTAGGCCTATCCAAGCGGGAAGCTTCCGGTCTACAATATGAAGCCAATGCGGAAGTCCCTGAAACCTGTATTCGACAGGTTTCAGGGACGACTCTTCTGGTTGCAAAAAGAAGTCCGGCTCTATTAGAAATAATGGTAAAATGAGCCTACTTCTCAGCTGATTTATTACCTCAGAAAACACTTTCCTGATGTGTTTATGGTCTCAGTCGCTAGTTTCAAGTCTTCTTCAATACAAAATGATGTTCATTTAGTAAATTATGGTCCCATTTATTTTGAAATAGACCATAAAGCAGAGTATGTTTCAGGGTAGGATTATCTATAATTGACAAGTCGTTACCATGGCGACCTGTCAATCAGGCTAGAGTGACTCGTACCCTTGGCACTGTGTAAATTTAACCAACACCACTGAAAAAGCTTATTAGGAGTCGGCTCTTCACTTTCTCTGGTGAGTACATTTAGTTTTAAGACTGTTGTTCGCTAGACAAAGTTGTCAGACCTGTTAAAATGAGTTACAGCTGCACCTAGCTAAGCAAGCTAGCTAGCTCAGCACACGGCCGTTAGCGCTGCCGTATCGTCACTTCCGGGCACTTCCTGGTTGCAAAAACTCGACATGGCGGTGCCCTATCGGCCAAACTCGAGGCTTCAAAACGGCAGTCCACAAACCAACGGGTGACATCACGACGACTACGTCCATTTCTTATATACAGTCTACGGGCCTATCCTTACTGTTCCTGCCACTACTGCTTCTGCTACTGCTACTGCTTACTACTGTTGCCTCTACTACACTTCCTACTGCTTCTGCTACTGCTACTGCTTACTACTGTTGCCTCTACTACACTTCCTACTGCTTCTGCTACTGCTACTGCTTACTACTGTTGCCTCTACTACACTTCCTACTGCTTCTGCTACTGCTACTGCTTACTACTGTTGCCTCTACTACACTTCCTACTGCTTCTGCTACTGCTACTGCTTACTACTGTTGCCTCTACTACACTTCCTACTGCTTCTGCTACTGCTACTGCTTACTACTGTTGCCTCTACTACACTTCCTACTGCTTCTGTCACTACTTCTGCTGCCCTACTGCTACTAACATTGCTAGCAGTATTTCAACTACTACCACTACTTCAACTACTACCACTACTTCTGCTAGTACTACTACTACTACTACTGCAACTGCTACTGCTAGTACTGCCTCTATTGCTACTTATCTACTGCTACTCTTCTGTAAAAATCTGAGAGATTCAACATTTGAGGAGATATTGATTTTTGTATCTAGTCAGACTTGTGAGAGTGGGGTTGCATTGGGGGACCTTGGACCGACCTCTGTATTTCTAAAATCCTGGCTACAGCTGTGTTGTTGACAGGTCATGTTTAATGTAAATCCAGTATCTCATGAACCTGGCATTGCATTCACACTACCCAGTAGCTTTCACTGATAAATCATGTTAAGCTCTGGGCCCTGTCTGCTGCTAGCATGCATTTTAGAAAGAACACAACTCAATTTTTTTAGGGATTTTGGGAAGTCAGTGGTCAGAGCAAAGCACCATAAAGTCCCCCGCCCCCTCCCCCCGCATGCTCTTTCACTTTTATTCCGTTTTAATCTCTAAAGTCAAATCACAGGCATCCATACTGGATGATTTCTGTATCTATATCCACTAACTGGTGATTCCACATCCCACTGTGCCCATGAACCTTGTGAAATGACAGGAAACATTCATGCACAACTCTAATATCACACATAGATCTAAAACCTGATGATTAATGTTCTGTCCCTTTGAATAAGATAATGCTGTTTTCATATAAACAAACATAGATGTTATATGTCAGGAATGAATCATAATCCAAAAGCACTTATCATGTCTCTGTACACAGCTCAATCCTAAATCACTTTTACATTTAATAATTCTGAAACTCGAATCTATTCATTGGTAAATGGTAAACAGACTGCATTTCTGTGCCGCTTTTCCGCCTTAACGGACAAAACGCTTTACAGTTATTGTATGTGTATCCAAAGCCTGGTATATCTTATTCCTCTGTACCATAGAGCTCCACTGTTGTCCAAAAGCACACCAACAAGCCATTCTGTTGAGTGTCCTTCATTACCATAAACACACACACTGTAGTTTATTTTGACTCAGTCCCACATACACCGTCCTGCTGCCACAAATACTCACTAGAGCGCCAAATGTGGATTAATCCTCTGCTGAACAGTCCTCAGCAAATGCACTATTTCCTCCTGTTTGAGGAAGGTTGGATAAAAACTACAGTAGCCAGCTGTTTTAGGTAGTTTGTTAAAAATGAAACTATATACTTGCAAGGCGAGATTTATATTTTCAGTAGGAACCGATGGGCTTTGAGCTGAGATCCACAGAGAGGGTAGGGAAGTTATATTGAGAGACGAACACTTTGGTGGTTTTGGTCTCTAAGTGTACATACACCACCTGGCAGCAATCTAGAAGCAATGACATCGGTGACAGTTAAAAACTATATTTTAGTTAATCCATGGACAGATTATGAAACAACGGGGGCCCAGGGCATAGGTGCCTAAAAGGACCCTCTATGTAACCAGCAATCGTCCCGCTGGATGAAATTTGCACCTGAACTTCAGTTTGCTCACTCTTGAGATGCAGAGAAGCTTTCTGACTCTGAGCCTAACCAAAAGCTCCCTGCCACACTGACAGTCCTCTCCACAAATATTATACAAAATACAATACGCCACTACACAACATCATCAAAATGGAAACTGGTGGTCCAGATTATTATTTC